GCCACTCCTGCCCCTGCCTAGGCGGCACCCTGGCACAGCCTCCTGGCAGCCACTGACTTCCTTTTCCCTTTGTCAGAGCTCAATAGCTCCCTGGGGACTCGGAGAAAGGGCAATTACAAAGGCAAATTGGCAACGATGCTGGGAGAAATGAAATGGCAGAGAACCCCATGCACCCACTGGGCCAGAGCAGGGCAGAAGGGGCCAAGGTTTGCACAGGCTGTGTCCTCCCTTCCTTGCTCCTGTACCCAGCCCATGCCACCCGGCTGTGGAAGCTGATCTCCCTCCAACTGAGTTCTTGCAGGATGTGGATGAAGGCAAAGCTCTAATTGCCCGTTGCTGGAAGGAGACAGAAAAAAAAAAAAGAAAAAACAGATAAAAATATCTCTGTTTTTTATGCACGTTTCCAGTTGAAAATTGATGGGAAAGATGTTTTTGAAAAACCCTTATCTCTAAGCATATAATTACTGGGTCTCAGAACAAATGGGAATGAGCAGGAGAGTGTATGCAGGACCTGGGGGAGGGTGAGTCCCACGGTTTCTATAAATAATCACCCCAATGTCCCAGCCAGCTGACCTCAGGGAGGGCAATCCCCATGCTACAGACAGGGTTGGAGATGGCAGTCCCATAGCCAGCAAGTGGTTCTGACACCGCTTGGTGCTTGGGCTGAGTGGTGCCTCAGTTTCCCCACCCAGGGACTCTCTTAAAAGTGGGCACACTTCAGGATCTTGGATGTCCAGGCACTTCCTGCTTCAGAATCTGGGAGAAAACTCTGGAAGCAGGGATGTGAACCTGCAGAGACCCCATCCCCCTGACAGCCAGTGCCTGGCCTGGTGATAGCTCTGTCCTGCCATCCCCGAGTCTGGCTTAGACTCTATTCTCTCATTGTTGTGATCAGGGTGCAGGGGTCCTTGGTCCTCTCCCACTCCCTGGGGTTTCCCAGCCTGGCTAGGGTGAGCTTGGGCCTGAGTTTCCCTGACCTTTCTTAGAGATGGCCCTGAGCCCTCCACAGGGATCCTGGGGCTGGCCCAACTTGCTGATCTCCAGGCTGGGAGGAGCCGGTGGCAGAGTCTCCTCTGCAGGATGGAACATTGTTACCTCAGCTTCCACTGCAGGGCCCGTGCGGCAGTGGTGCAGGTGTGCATGGGCTTTGATCTTAGTACTTGGGGATCATCTGGGGCTCAGGAAGTGACCCTCAGGGCTGTCATGGAAGACTCTGCCTAGTGGGGTATCACTCACATCCAACGGGGCGGGGCACTGATGTGAGCAAGGTCTGGAGGAGGCTGAGCCAGGACAGCCCCAGGGGCCTGTATACCATTTGGGCTTCCCTGTGGTGCTATTAGTGGTTTAGTAGCTTAGGGCAGAGTGAAGGTGGGGGACACGGTGCCGAGCCCCACCCCTTACCCAGCCAGAGCCCCCTCCCTTACCAGAGCCCTGCCCCACCTGCAGGGCATAACTTCTCTTGGGGTGACATCACTGCCCTAGGGGACATTTATCAGTGTCTGAAAGTGAACCTTCTGTTATCACAGGTGCTCCTGGCACCTGTGCTTGGAGGCTGGGGTGCTGCTGACTATCTTGCAGTGTGGTGGTTTAGAAACTATCCTGGTGCGGTGGAGAGACCGGGCAGATGTGGGGTCTGCTTTGTGGAGCCACTTTGTGGGTGCAGAGCACTCAGAGGACAACACAGGCCAAGCTGTGGCCATTCCCTCACCTTGGTCCTCAGGCTGTGGCCAGGGCAACAGGCAAGGGAATTAAATAGACAGTATGAAAAGAGGTATAGCATTTCACAAGTGAGAAATAAAAGTGTCACTTGCATAGATGACATGATCACATATACAGAAACATTTTTAAATCTACAGATTAACTGTTAGAATTAGTACATGGATTTAAAAGTTTAGAGTACAAAATTGACTGTAGTTTTAAATATCCACAGAACATAAGTAGGAAGTGACATTTGAAAACAATGCGGTTTATAATAGCATTGATATGCTTCAAATGCCCAGGAAAACATTTAATGAAAGAGGTCTGAGACCTTTGCTGGTGAAAGTGCACAAAAAAACCCAAGCTGAAAGCAGGGTATGGTAGTGCACACCTGTTATCTCAGCACTCAGGAGGCTGAGGCAGGAGAATCACTGCCAGTTCAAGGCCAGCCTGAGCTACATAGTGAGTTTGAGCCCAGCCTGGGCTATATAGCAAGACCCTGTCTCAAAACAAAAAAACCCAAGCAGACCCAGCCTAGGGGGAAGAGGTGAAACTATTGCATCAGGCGGGTGGTCTTTGAGAGGCCGGGGTCCTCAATGACCTATTGTCCATTCAAAGACCTCCTGTCTCCCTTTAGGTATCTCTGGGTTTCTCACTTCCACTCTGGTAAAGAATGGGGAAGTGAGGCGAGGCCGGCTCAGAGCTGAAGCCCCCAGCAGAGAACAGGGAAGTCAGGACCTTGCTGAAAAGAAACCAATTTGAAGCAAAGGTATCATTTATAAGGTCGGGAATGCAAGGAACAGGTGCCAGGTAACAGGACACAGTACAAGGCAGGGGAATTCAACTGAATTTCCAAAGGTCAGAGGACTACAGTACTCATAGGGGTAAGGTGGTTTCTAAAAATAACTGTTTCACTGATTGGTGAAATCTAAGTCAATCAGGGTCTCCGCCTCCGTTTCTGGGTTGAGGAAAGGTCTGGAGGCTAAGGGGAACATGGTGCATGCAATAAGGTCATGAGAGCTAGCTTCCTCAAGTACGTAACTACGATAAGCTTGTGGTAAATACTCAGCCATCAGCCACCCAGCTCATGTCCTACATCGTCCTTACCTATACCTTCCTCTAACTGGCCCTACAGAACTGTCTGGAGTCTGTCACCAAGCTAACCAAATCCTTTCCACCCAACCCCCTGTCCCCTTCCTGGACCTCTGCCCATAGGCAAAGGAAACGTGTAAACAAAATCTCATGTGTAAATGCTTGTCATGCTTGGTTCAGAGTCATCCACTATGGGGACAACAGAACCCGCCTTTCAGCAGACGAATTGCCAATGACCCAGGCACCCATTCCGTGGCACCCATTCCATGACACATGTGTGCACAGTGTGAATACTGGGACACACACAACATGCATGAGCAGTGAGCAACTGAGCTACATGATTGAAACAAGATTCAAAAGCCAACGATGTATTCCGTGACTCTGTTTATACACCATTGTGGAAAGATCGAGAAATCATGGGACCAAAAGAGATCAGTGTTGGCCGGGATCCGAGGGTGGGAGAGGTGGATATGAACAGGCAGTGTGGGAGAATTGCAGGGGGCAGAGCTGCTGCAAAGCCCGGCTGTGGGGTGTCGGAGATGAAATGCACACCACAGAGTATATATTAATCCTGCGTCTCAATTGTGAAAGCAGAGAAACACTTGTGGACAGATTGCCGGACCCCACCCAAAGCCTCCAACTATCAGGTTCTTGGGGCCTAACATTTATTTTTCTGGCCAGTTTGCAGCCACGTGGGTGTTGCTGCCAGAGACGGGATTTTGGGATCCCCCTGTTATGCCGGTCTTCGGTCTAGATCACAGGACTCCACCCCACCCCAGGACACCAAAATCTACCGGAGCTCTAGGCCCCTGTATAACACAGCTCGTGCTGGCATAAAGCTACATACAACCCCTGTATGCACTGAGCAGCCCATAACTGCAGGTTCAACCAATTGCATCACAACTGTCTGAAAAATAACTGCACTCTCACTGAACCTGTGCAGAGTTGGTTTCTTGCCGTCTCTGCAGAGGCACAGTGTAACACGCACCCACAGCGTCTGCAGTAGGTGGGGTAACAGGAGGGCCCATGTGGGTTCTGCCACATGGCGTCATCCTGTGTGAGGGCTCAAGTGTCAGTGGATTGGGGTGTTTGGGGGATCCTGGACACAGGGGTGACTGTACCTTAAATCGTGTTTACTTTCTAATAAGACCCAGCGCAGGGCCAGTGCTCTACCCACGGCTGCATGCTGTATTGTCTGGGGATGGTGACAAGGATGATGCTCAGGAACAGACAGAGCTTCTGCTCTTAAAAATTCACCAGTTGTGGGTGGCAGAATCTGCAGATGTGGAATCTAAGCATAGAGCTGACTGCACCTTTTGTTGTTTTTTCAGTCCTGGGGATTCGGAACTCAGGGCCTTTGCACAGAGCTGCAACCCCATCCCTTTTTATTTTTTACTTCAAGACAGAGTCCCACTAAGTCGCTAAGTTGCCCAGCCTGGGCTTGAACTTGTGATCTTGCCTCAGCCTCTCAGAGTGCTGGGATGACAGGCTTGAGCCATTATACCTGGCTGTACTTTTCTGATGTTTGAAATAAATGAAAAACTTCCTAGTAATTAAAAAAATCCCAAAAGACAGATTTCGCTGCAGACTAGACACATCCCAGAGAGAGAGACTCAGGAAATGTGGCGGTGAAGTGGGATATGTGGGTTGTGGGGTCCGAAGCACCTCTCCCGGGGCGGGCTGGGGCAGCAGGCTGCCATCGGGCCACCCTGAGTGTCAGAAGACGTGGCTCACATGCTGCAAAATGTGGGATCTGCTCAGGATGCTGGTACAGCACTGCCTTGCAAGTGCATGTGTGTGTGTGTGTGTGTGTGTGTGTGTGAGTGAGCTCCCAGTCACAGCAGGCGCGCAAGCTCAGCCCTGCACAGGGCCAGCAGACCTGGGTCTCACTGGGATTGTGCAATGTTCAGCTGTGTGGCGTGGGCACAGAATGTTCTGTCTGGGCCTTGGCTTCCTGATCTGCACAATGGGGTCATTTCAGCAGTCCTGGGTGTCTGGCATTTGACTGCAGAGTGGCTGTGACATCTGGGGTGCGGTGAGAACCCACAGAGCCACTCAGCCAGAAGATCCAGGGTGCGGCCTCCCTGGGACTGACACTCAAGGACCCAGCCCAGGACCAGGGCACTGGCAGAGAGGGACCCATTGCAGCCCTAGGAGGGTCCTGGGGCCAGGCAAGAGGATGCACACTTAGAGTGGTTCTGTCTCTACAGACGACCGGCCTTACTGCAAAGGGGGCCAGGACAGGGGCGGTGCTGACGGGGGCTTGGCCTGCCGCAGACAGAGCATCCCAGGTACAGCATCCCTGTCCCTGCTGCCCGAATCTTCTGTCCAGCCCTGGCCACCATGCCTTGCTGCCCGATCACAGCCCATCTCTCCCTGGCAGAGGAGTGCCGTGGTGTCACTGTGGTGGAGCTGACCAAGAGCGAGGGCAGCACGCTGGGACTGACAGTCTCAGGAGGCACCGACAAGGATGGGAAGCCCAGGGTCTCCAGCCTCAAGCCCGGGGGTCTTGCGGCCAGGTGGGTGACTGGGCAGCCAGGGAATGGGGCTGAATGTGGTGTCTGCAAGAGGAAGGATCCGTTCCTGCTCTCGGCCTCTCTGAGGTCCCTCCACATGCACCTTTGCCGCAGTGTCCCCCTCCCTGGGGCTTATTCCCTGCTGCTCGTCCCCTCCTGTGAGGCACAGACCATTGCTTCTTAGGGAAATTCCCCTTCCTGCGAGAGGCCCTGGCTGTCCTGCTTTCACTGCGTGGGACTGGACCAGTGCCTGGCCTCTCCGCACCTCTGAGGAATGAGAATCAGAAGCTCTCAGGGGTCCCGGGTGGCAGGTGTGGGTGCCAATCCCAGGCTACTGGTCACCATGTGCTGGCCTCGCACAGGAGTGACCTGCTGACCGTGGGTGACCACATCCGGTCGGTGAATGGCATCCACCTGGCCCGGCTACGCCACGATGAGATTGTTGCCCTGCTGAGGAACGTGGGCGAGCGCGTGGTGCTGGAGGTGGAGTATGAGCTGCCCCTGCCCGGTGGGTGCCTCACCTCGGAGGCGGGGCGGGGGCCGTGCCAGGCGGGGGTGGGGAGGTGTGTGTGTGTTGTCACCAGGAGGCCACAAGGCCCAGCCAGGCCTGTGGCTCTTCCCAGTGGGGGCCTGGGGGACCCTGGCCAAGCACTGTTCCCGCCCTGCTCGGAAGCTGCAGCCCGGGCATCTGAATTCCCAGTGTTGGTCTTGACCCTGGCTGAGCCCAGCCACAGACCTGAGCCTGAGGCCGCCTGGTGCTCAGGAGCTAGTGCAGCCCTCCTGTCCTGTGGTGGTAGCGGGCATCGGGGTAAAGGTCCCTCTAGGCCTCCGCACCCGGAAGTCTCTGAGGCTGGTCACCCAGCACTCCCGGGATGGGCTTTGGGAATGTCTGCCAGCATGGGCACTTGGGAGAAACTCACGGGTCCCTCTCTCCTCTGCAGCCCTGGAGAACAACCCCAGGATCATCTCAAAGATGGTAGACATCTCCCTCTACAAGGAGGGCAACAGTTTCGGCTTTGTTCTCCGAGGTCAGTGTGGGGACCACTTGGCTCAGGGCACAAGAAGGGGGCTAAGGTGCATCCCATGTACTTTGGGCTTTGCTTCCTACTCTAAAGAACCCTGGACCATTAAGTGAAGTGTTTGGGGCTAAGCAGAGTGAGAGAGACCCTAATACCCAAGAGGGATAGGGAAACCACTGCTGAGATTGAAAACAAAGTTTGGAGCTGCCTAGCAACCAGGCCAGAAAGGGAAATAAGATGAGATCTCAGGGAGGGAAGCAGAGAGATTTGGATCTGGGTTCTGTCCCTTGTCCCATCTGTGGAGAAGTTGCAGTTGGTGTCTCTGGAGAAGTCCATGAGTATTGAGGACAAGGCCTCAGGCAGGTGTCCTCAAGGGAATTTCTCAGGGGCCAACTGGGCTCTGGGCAGAGAGGAAGGGGTACGAAGATGGGTGCTGCTTCCTGTTGAATCTTGCCCAGGAGGTGCCCATGAAGACCTGCACAAGTCCCGCCCGCTCGTCCTGACATATGTGCGGCCAGGGGGCCCGGCTGACAGGTGAGCTCAAGCCAGGGAGACCCACACCACCCCAAGGAGCCCCAGCCCCGTGCAGCGGCCAAGTGGAGCCATGCTGCCCTCTCCCACTGAGCCCACGGACACCGGGATGAGGCCTGGGGAGAGGGTCCCCAGCATGTGCTCTCCACGCCCTCTGGGTCAGCCCTGCCCCAGACCTGCAACAGCCCGGGGCTGGGAGGGAGAGCGTGGGGAGGACACACCCCGTGCTGCCCTTGGAGAATCCTGGCATGGCCTCATGGCCAATCTAAATCTGTCCCAGGACAGGGCCTGGCTGAGCTATTCCAGGATGGTCTGGAACAGCCCGGGCCACCTGTCAGGGTGGGAGGGGACCCAGCCAAGGAGGCACTTGCCCTCCCTGGGCCCTCAAGGTCCTTCCCACAGGTGTCACCAGTGCAGGGCGAGGAGGACCTGGAGGGTGGGAACGTGACGTCCACCTCTCCGTGCCAGTTACCCTGGCGGTAACTCCTCGGCCCAGCCCTGGAGGGCGCCCCCACTCTCTCCCTGCCCTTCCTGCAGGGAAGGCTCCCTGAAGGCGGGTGACCGGCTGCTCAGTGTGGACGGCATCCCGCTGCATGGGGCCAGTCACGCCAGTGCCCTGGCCACCCTGCAGCAGTGCGGCCACGAGGCGCTCTTCCGGGCAGAGTATGATGTGACTGCCCCAGGTGCCAGCCCAGACGAAGCGCGTGCCACATGTTGGGTGGGGGGCACCCTGGGGACCCATGGAGTGCAGTACAGATGAGGCCTGTGTCTCATGGAGCTGGCCTCTGGAGGGGAGAGGAAGTCAGGCAGCCGAATAGATAGCAGTGTGTCCACTGGGTACCAGGAGGGGAGGGAGAGTCAAGCCTGGGTTTAGGGGTGCAGGGTGTGGGTTATGGAAGCTGTGGGTTATGGTGATGCTTCCAGCCAGGAGCACAGTCGGCTGTTCTCTGGATGACAGGGACTCTTGCACATGTTGTGGTGGCCCCTGCGCCCATTTAGCTTTGTAGAATGGGGACCTCACACATCACTGGGGTGCAGAATAGGGTCGGGAGGCCGGTGCACCCCCTTTCCCAGCCAACTTGCCTGTCTCCGTGAGCAGACTCTGTGGCCGGGATGTCTGGGCCACTGGTGGTGGAGATCTCGAAGATGCCAGGGTGTGCCCTGGGCATCTCGCTCACTGCTGGCTGCCACTGGAACAAGCCCGTCATCACGATCGACCGCATCAAGCCGGCCAGTGTAGTGGACAGGTGAGCCCACTGGGCACTGTCTCTGGGGTGTGTGGGGACGGGGCCCAGCTTCGGTTGGACCAGCTTCCACATCTGCCCGGCCAGGAGCGGGGCCCTGCGCGTGGGGGACCACATCCTGTCTATCGACGGCACCAGCACCGAGTGCTGCTCCCTGCAAGATGCCACCAAGCTGCTGGCCGGCATGGCAGAGAAGGTGCGGCTGGAGGTCCTGCCTGCACCCCAGAGCCGGTGGCCCCCACAGCCCGTGGATGCAGGTGAGTCTGGGGCTTGGGCCAAGCCGGGCTGATGCAGGGTGAGAGCAGGGCAGCTGGACAGCAACCAGGAGGCAGAGAGGCCTTGCCACCTGCCCAAGCTCCACAGCCAGGTGGAGTCCCTGGGTCCCCCGACCTCCTGTGCAGCTGGGGCAGAGGGAGGTGCTGCTAGCAGTGTAGACCATGTGGGAGTGCAGGGGCTGGGATGAGGGGCCTGAGCTAACAAGATGTGCAGAGCCCCAGGATGTCTGGGCCGGTGGTGCAGAAAAGGGGGAAGAAATGTGGGCCATGGCCAGGGCAGCCACACTGTGGCCAGACAAAGGGTCAGCTGTGGCTGTGGTGATACCTGTGGCTGAGACCTCCAGGCCTGGACCTGATACCTCATCCTGGAAGGAGAAAGAAGGCTGAGGTGGTGCCAAGCCAGGTTTATGGCCCCTGGCTGGGGGATCCCAGGCTCCTCTGCCCTCTGTCCCTTGCCAAGCCCCTCTCTCCTGCCCACAGTGAAGGTACAGAGGTGTGAACCCCCTGGCTGGGATCCCCACGCGCCCTCCTGCCATAGCCCGCGGCCCACCTGGGGCCCAGAGCAGAGCCGAGGTGTGGATGCCCGTTCCTGATGGTCGGAGGGTCCAGAGACGGGGTTGCCTGCTCTCCCCTGCATGTTGCGGGTTCCACATGGGGTCCGGCTCCCTGGGCCGTGCAGTGAGGCCCATGTGTCCTCCCCTAGCCCTGTCCTCCAGCCCTTTTTCCTCATCGCCCGTGGACCATGCCTCTCCCCGCACGCACCCCATCACTCTGCCTCGAGGACCCCCTCCCGGGAGCCCACGTGCCACTCCGGGGCGCAGGAGGCCGCGCAGGAGGGAACACAGGAGCTCGAGTAAGTAGGCCTGGTCCCTGGGTGGGCATAGGCACCAGAGAGGCCCAGAAGCCCTCAGGTGTGGCTGGTCCCTTGCCTCAGCACACACTGGCACCAGGGACCCTGGGAGTGTCGTGCTCCATGACAGAGCCAGCCACAGAGCCGGGAGTAGACTGATGGCTGCAGGTGCTGGTCTAGGGCAAGACTAGGGCCAGAGAACAGAGAACAGCTCTTCTCTCCCTTCTTTCCCTTTATCCCTTCTCTCCTTCCCTCTTTCCTTTTCTCCTCCTTTGCTTGCTCCCTCCCTCCCTCCCTTCCTTCTCCCCTTTCCTCCTTCCTTCCTTTCTTCCTCCCCATACTGGAGATGGAACCCAGGACCCCACACATGCCACACAAGGCCAAGGTCTCCTCTGTGGTGACGAACACATCCTGGAATGGGGCTCGGCCATGTGTGCTAAGGGTCTCCAGAACTACTTGCCTGGAATTGCACATTTTAGCTGGGTGGCTTTGATAGGCATGACTTGTGTGTGTAACAATAAACCATCACCCCAAACCATGTAGAACACCAGGATGTGCGGAAGCATGGTCTACACAGCAGGCTGCCCCGTACCCAGCTCTGTTCCCAGGGTTCTGTCACCAGGGCCAGCAATTAGTGAAGCCTCTCAGCATCCTTTCCATCCCTCCATGTCACTGGCCAAGGCCAGCTGCACCCAGCGACCTGCCCCATCCTGTCCTCACCTGTCACCACAGCTCAGGACTTGTGCCCAGGGCCCTGACATGACTTAATTGTGACCCAGCGCATGGAGGTGAGGGGCTGGCAGACAGGATAGGATATGGTATGGCTGCTCCACTGGGTTTCTGGGTATTGACAACCTCTCAGTGTGGCTAATTTACCTCACCATGGTGGGTCCCTATGGGAGGAAGCATGGGAGGAAGGGGCTGGGCACTTCCCCCTGATGTGTCTCTGGTGGAACACAGAGGGCCAGGGCAGGGCATTTCCTGTAGCCTGGGGTTCCCCGTGGATATGGAGGCCCAGTGATCCAGGCACCAGTAATGGCGACACCCTGAAACTCTGCTCTACAAAGTCTCAGCCTTGGCGTTGCCCTGATTCCATCCCTCACCCTCTGAGTGGGAGAAGAGGTTCCAGGTGTCCGTGTGCCAGTCATCTCGGTCACCTCAGACTGGAATTCAGGGCCTGAGCAGGCCTGGGGTCCCTGAGTGCTGTCGCCTCATCCCACAGTGTCCCTGGCGTCCAGCATGGTGGGGCCCGGCGGGCAGATTGTGCACGTGGAGACCACGGAGGTGGTGCTGTGTGGGGATCCCCTCGGTGGCTTTGGCCTCCAGCTCCAGGGTGGTATCTTTGCCACTGAGACTTTGTCATCCCCGCCCCTTGTGCGCTTCATCGAGCCCGATAGCCCAGCAGAGAGGTGAGCCCCTTCCTCCCGGGCCCACCAACCCTAGCTAGAGGCCCCGGGACAGCAGGGAAACTGAGCCATGGGTACTTCCTCTCCCCATCCTATGGCCTCCATCAGCCCCATTTACCTTTGAGGAGGCTGAGGCTCAGAGACGCTGACTCCCTGGCCCGGGTACACACAGCTCGGGCAGGAGGTCCTCAGGATTTGAGTCTTCTCTGTCCTCCTTGGGGAATGGGGCCTGGCTGGTGACATCATCCTGGGAGAGAAATAGGGAGACAGAGACTAGTATCGTGTGACAGAGTGCCGAGGACATGGCACTGTCACGTGCTCTACCCCCACCGGGCCCAGGTGTGGGCTGCTGCAGGTGGGCGACCGCGTCCTGGCCATCAACGGTGTCGCCACTGAGGACGGGACCATGGAAGAGGCCAATCAGATGCTTCGGGATGCCGCACTGGCCCACAAGGTCATGCTGGAGGTGGAGTTCGATGTGGCGGGTGAGCAGGTGCCCTCTGTCCCTGCCTGGTGACCCTGCTCCTCGAGCCCTTCGTGGTGGAGAGGAGGTCACAGGGCAGGGCCCAGAGGGTGCAGAACCTGAGTTCCAGCTTGGGGTTCCCACACCTGTGACCTGGCACAGGATGCCCCCTCCCTGTGCCCTGAGTCCTTATCCGTCAGGGTGGGGGGAGTGAGGTCCCACAGGTTGGGGTCCCCACAGTCTGGTCCAATCCATCTCTGCAGAGTCCGTCTTACCCAGCAGTGGCACCTTCCACGTGAAGCTGCCCAAGAGGCGTGGTGTGGAGCTGGGCATCACCATCAGCTGTGAGTCCCCACCACCCAACCAGGGTCGGGCATGGCTGCCTGGAGCAACTGCTCCACCGAGTGTGCGGTGTCCCCGCTCCTCCTTCTGCACAGGGGTCTCTTCATGGGCCTGGAGGTGCCTCGGGGTCTTGGGAGCAACCTTTAGGGCCATGTGCCAGGCCGGCCGGGCTTCCTGTCCATCTCCATACTCCCAGAGCCCAGAAGAGGCCCGAGTACAGCAGGTGCTGAATCACATTGGTCAGGGAAGGAAAAGGAAAGTATCAGAAAAGCCCAGTTCATGCACTTAGTAAATCTGGGATGGGCAGAAATGAAAGTCCTGGCTTGGCCAGTGAGACCCTGTGTCCCTGGTCCTGCATGGCTCTTTGCAAGGCTCTGCCCTCGGCTCTCTCTTCATCCGTCCTCAGGACTTGGCTCAGGTCTGCATGCTGGCCTTGCACACATGCACACACACATACATGGACACACACATAGGTACACAGGCACGCGAGCACACACACACACCCGCGAGTGCAGGCCACCTTAAACAGCCTTCCTGAGGCCCTACCCTCCGCACAGCCCTTTCTGTCTTATTCTTCTCACTGCCTTTTCATCTGAGAAGCCACCCCTGTCCTTCCTGTCCTTCTGTCCTCTGCTGGGTCCCTTGGGGCTGCACCTGGGCCCAGAGTGTGACCAGGCCGCCCTTCCAGGACTTGGTTGGCTGGGGTCAAGGTGAGCAGGAGGAAGAAGGCAGCAGGCATTGAGTGCCTACTGTGTGCCAGGAAGCTGGTGGGGCTTCGAGACCTTGCCCATCACCTGATTCCACCTTGCTGCGTCCCTGGGAGGTGTGGCACCTCACAGCCAGCTTACAGAATGAGTAGGGCACCAAGAGGTGGCTCGTTTGCTCAGGACGCGGGTCGGGAGGGGAGGGCTGGAAGGAGCTGGTGGCAAAGGCACGATCCCATCCTCACGGAGGCCAAGCCCTCCAAGTCACACTGCGCCTTCCCCGCAGCAGCCAGCAGGCGGCGCGGCGAGCCCCTCATCATCTCTGACATCAAGAAGGGCAGTGTGGCACACAGGTAGGCGTGGGCATGGGGGAGACAGGTGGCGAGTGCTGTGTGCTCCAAGGGTAGCTCCTCCCCATCCCCCTGCAGGACGGGCACCCTGGAGCCAGGCGACAAGCTGCTGGCCATTGACAATGTGCGGTTGGACGACTGCCCCATGGAGGAGGCCGTGCGCATCCTGCGGCAGTGTGAGGACCTGGTGAGGCTGAAGGTCCGCAAGGACGAGGACAACTCCGGTACGCGCCCTGGCCCCGGCCACCCCCCACCCCACATCCCCTGCCGCCTGCTCACGCTGCCCTTGCAGACGAACAGGAGGCCACGGGTGCCGTGAGCTACACGGTGGAGCTGAAGCGCTACGGGGGCCCGCTGGGCATCACCATCTCGGGCACCGAAGAGCCCTTTGACCCTATCATCATCTCGGGCCTCACCAAGCGGGGGCTGGCCGAGAGGTGAGCTGGCGGGCGCAGTGGTGGGCACCTGAGGGGCTGGGACGGGGCCCAGGAGCATCCCCTCCCCAAGCACCAGGCCCGGTCTGTAACCTGGGGGGGTGGGGGGGTGGGATGTGCTGGGGGATCCCCAAAGTGGTGGCAAATGGGGCAGCTCCGGTGCCCAGGAGGCAGCTAGGGCTGTTCCTGCCTGGGTGCAGCCCAGGAAGAGTACCTGGAGCAGTGGCACCTACAGGGACACCTGCAGGTAGCAAGGAGGAGCCCAGCCCAGTTCTTGCAGACAGGGCATTGCTGTACCCGGGGCGCCCCCAGTTTGGCACTGGGCACAGTCACCCGCCTTCCCTGCCGTGTAGCCCTCTTCAGCTGGTGGAAGACAGTCGGAGCTCCAGACTGAATAGTCAGGTTTTGAGTGGCCGCTTCCAAAAGGTTAAAGAATCAATGTGAGTTAACACGTCCTTGATGCAGATAGCAGCAGGGTGCATCCTGTGACTTGACTCGCACCGCACTTCAGTCAGGCCATGTTTCACCCCACCCCATGTCTACCTGGCTGCCCCATTGGGCCCATGGCTGGTGGGTGCCCAGTGCACACCCTCCTGATGCTGCCATCCCTGCATCCCTGCTGTGCCTGGGCTGGGAAGTGGGGGCCAGCACCCAGCACCACCCGACCCCTGGGGTTCCAGTCCCCATCCCCACTGAGACACGGGGAGCCAGGCCCTGGCTCCTATGCAGGCTCAAAATTGTTCTCCAGATGCACACTGCGCCATCCCCTCCCAGGTTCTAGGCTGAGGACTCTGTTAATGCAACCCAAGGTTGCAATGTCCGCCTTGCCTTCTTTTGCAGTTACACATAACCGGAGTCGACCAGGATTCAGTCTGGGTCCTGGGGTTCCCTGAGGGCAGAGGCCTCCTCCCGGGTCCTGGGTGCGAGTCCTGATCCTGCCCTGTGCCCCTCAGGACAGGTGCCATCCATGTGGGGGACCGAATCTTGGCCATCAACAGCGTCAGCCTCAAGGGCCGGCCGCTGAGTGAGGCCATCCACCTGCTGCAGGCAGCTGGCGAGACCGTCACGCTGAAGATCAAGAAGCAGCTAGAGGAGCGTGAGCATCACACTGGCCTGGGACCCAGCCCTGGGATGGGGGACCTTGGGGAGGGGAGGGCAGCTGGGTGACACTGCCAAAGGGAGGGACAGAGGCCCTGGGTCACAGGCTGTGGCAGGTTTGGTGTGGCCCGTGTCCCCTCCCTTCTGCACGTGCTGTCTCCTGCATGCCTGGGGCCACACCTGTCGCTCCTCAGAGTCTCTGACTCCATCTGGGCCTCAGTGGTGGGAGGAGTCTAGTTGCAGGTTCCTGTACTGCTTACCATGTGAGCTGGGCCTCAGTTTCCCCATCTGCGGCCCCTGCTCAGCTCTGGGTCTTCCCCCAGGCCTGCTCATGCCCCGAAAGTCAGGCAGTGTCAGTGAGGCCAGTGACACCGAAGAGGACCCACCTGAAGCCCTGAAGGCTGGCGCTCTGGCTACTCGCTTCCCGTCCACAGTGTGCAGCGTGGACAGTGCCGTGGAGTCCTGGGACAGCTCCGCCACTGAGAGTGGCTTTGGAGGCCCAGGTAACTCTCAGGCCACCTCTGCGGAGGGTTCCTGTCCTGCTCCTGGGGCCTCCTGGCCTCGCCCCGGCCTTGTCCTGCAGGGACACTTCCTGAGTACTCCACCCCCATGACCACTCTTAGGGACACTTAGGTCAGAGCCCTTGGCAGAGAATGCTCTGCTGTGGCCAGCTGTGCCCCGTCCCTGTCCCCACACCTGCACACAGGAGGCTCTCAAGTCATGTTTCTCACATTCAGCAGGAGACAGGAGGGCGGAAGGCACCCTCTCTGCCCCCCAAAAGCTTACCTTGGGACAATGTGCCAGCTCCTCCCCTGTGCCCTCTGTGCACACTGGGATCCAGGTGATCTCCAGGGGTCCACAGAGATCACAGGGGAGTGTGTGGGCCAGGCCTGTGGGGCCTCGGGAGCTCCAGGCTGGCTCCTACGGGAGGGACAATTGCCCTCTCTAGTCCCAGTGTCCCTGTTCCCCAGTGGGAGCCTGGGACAGGGCCTCTGAGCTCCAAGGTGGGGTAGGCTTTGTCCCCATGAGCTGAATCCGTCGGTGGGCAACGGAGACAGGGTCGTTATGTTCACTTCCTGCTTGTAGCCAGGAGCTCCAGGAAGGGCCTGGGATGGTGGGATGGTGATGCAGGCCTAGAAGGATGTAAGGATCAGTGTTTCCAACTCTGGAAATAGGGCCGAGGAGGGGCAGAAGAGACTGGGCACAGATGTCCCCTCCATGTCCCCAGGTGCCTATACCCTGCAGGCAGCCGTCCGGGGTGCAGCCTCCCAGCAGTGGCGGCACAGCAGGCCTCGGGGCAGCCCCCTACCCAGGGAGCCCCGGAGAACGAGCTACACCCCAGGCCCCAGGGAGCAGTGCTTCCTTGAGGACGAGGATGATGACTGGGGGCCACCCTCGAGGTTGGTGGAAGGGACTTGAGGCACTCGGCAGTTGGGGTGTGGGGGCTCAGTGACCTGGGGGGCCCCTGTGGCCGGGGTGCTGCACAGAGCCATGAGACCACACAATAGGGAGGGTGCAGTGGCAGAGAAGGGCACAGCTGCTTGTCCCACACCAACCCTGTTGCCACCTGGGAGCTGGGCACAGCTGTGCCAGGTGGAGGCGAGGACCCTCTGCACACTGAGCCTATCCTACTCGCCCTCAGAGCACAGCTGAGTCCCTGTCTTCCCGCCTGGTGGCACCTGCCACTCGTGTCTCCCCAGGTCATTACCTGGCTGTCGTGTCCTCTGAGACACCTGCGCTGGGCCCCGGGACCCTGCGGGGAGTGGCTGGCTCCCTGAGTGAGGCACACCTTGTCCCTGACATCCTTGGGCTCAGGAGCATTGGTGGCATCTGTGTTCCTGCCTGTAGGAGGGGGAGCTGCGGGACCACCCCGTGTGGCGTGTCTGCCTGTGACCTGCAGTGTCACTCCTGAATTGTCTGTCCTGCCCTGTCCTATCCCTGTCCCACAGTGCCGTATGTCTGTGTGGCAGGACGTCCTCCGGGCTGTCCGATGGATCTCCTGTCTGTCTGTCATCTCTCCCCAGGCGTCCTGTGTCACCGCTGTCCACCCCGTCTCGTCTGCCCCTGTTCTAACCTGTCACCGACCGTCTTGGTTGCCCCTAACTGCGTCTACCCCTCATTCTGTGTCATCAACCACTGCCCTGGGGCCCCAGCACTGCCACCAAGGAAGCCCATCTCCCTGCCCCGCGGTCCCAAGCCCAGCGCTGGCTTGGCCTGAAGACTGCACGGAGATGACACTCTGGTTCCTACGTTGCAGCCCCACCCCTGTCCCTGGCCCCGGCCCCAGCCAAGAGAGGGGCTTCTGGCCAGCACTGGGAGAGGCCCTGGAGGACCTGGAGTCCTGCGGTCAGTCGGAGCTGCTCAGGGAGCTGGAGGTATGGCAGCCACCCAGGGCTTGGAGGATGAGTGGGTGTGAGCAGCATCTGCTGGGGATGCTTGTGAACACGTGCCTGTCCCATGTGTCTGTGCATGCACATGGAGAGCACGTTCCTCAGAACCCATGTATGTCTCTGTGTGTGTGTGTGTGTGTGTGTGTGTGTCTGTCTGCAGTGCATGGTAGGTTGCATGTGACGTGCTCTGGTGGCCGCGGCTCTGTAGGCACCGCTTCCCCCAGGGAGTCCTTGCTGAGTGGGGTGGGCTGCAGGAGGCCCAAGGCTCTGTATTCTGCACACAGTTTGATGGCCCAGCCCTGCCCGATCTGCCCTTACCCAGTTCATTCCCAGAGGCGCTGCTTGGGTGGTGATGCCCTGCAGCCACCCGGCCCCTCAGAGCTCATGTCTGTTTGTTAACTGTCTCCCTCCTCGTTTCCTTGTTTCCGGTCTCACTCATTTTCATGTTCGGCCTCAGCATTTCCTTCCTACACCTTTTATGTGTAAATACTGATACATTTCCTGAGTTCTTAGCTAAGAATTTGCCTTCAAGCCCTGCCTTGGCTGCGATCCTCCAAGTTGTGATGGGTAATACTCTGGATTTTTGGTCCTGGGTATTGAATCCAGGGCCTCATGCATGCCAGGCGAGTGCTGCAGCACTGAGCTACAATCCCCAATCCTTGTTTTATGATTTTTTAAAAAAAAATTTTAGTTTGAGACAGGGTGTAAGATGCCCAGGCTGGCCTTGAACTTGCAATTCTCTTGCCTCAGCCTCCCAGAGTGCTGGGATTACAGGCATGTGCCACTGAACCCAGCTAGGATACTTTTGTTGTCCACTCAATTTAAAGCCTTTTAGTTTTCCATTGTCATTTTTACATAATTATAAATTCTACAGAAGTGGGGCTTTTGATTTGGGATTACTGGGTTTTTAAAATCCAGTTTTAAAAACTAAATTATATTGCTTTTTATTTTTATTTATTTATTTATTTATTTTTTGGTACTGGGGATTGAACTCAGGACCTTGCACTTGCAAGGCACGCGAGGTGCCACTGAGCTAAATCCCCAGCCCTGGTTTTAAATTTTTATATACTGTGGCCAGATGATGTGTCCAATTTGATTTTAATTCTCCAGAATTCATTACAATTTAATCCCTCATGGCCTAGGATGTGATCAGCTTTGCAAATGTTTCATGTGCGTTTACAAAAGAAAGCAAACTTTTTGTTGGTGTAGGGTTGTAGATAGTTCAAGATTGCTGATAAACTTGCTCAAATCTACATCTTTACCACATTGCATAGACTTTATCTTCATTTTTGTTAGCCGTATGATAAAATTCCCACCATTACATTCTGTCAATTTTTATTTTCTATCCTTTGATGTTACATTGTTGGTTGACATAAATTCATGATTACTATGACTTCTTAGTAAATTTTTCTCTTTATCATTAATTATCATTCACTATTATCTGTCTCTATGTACTTTCTACCTTAAATTGCATTTTTGTCTCATTGTTCTATCTGCTTTTAGTAATATTCGCCTTTTTCAAATTTATTTATTTTCGAGCTTCCTATACCCTTGTTTTAAATATGCCTGTGGTATATGGCTGATTCTTTCAAGGGCAAGTTCAGCCATTTATACCTCTTGCTATTACTGATATAATTAAACTTAATTCTAGCACATAGTTTTTACTTTCTACTTCTGCTTTCCCTCTACTTTTGGCCACTTCTCTTTCCTTCTTTTGTATACAGAAGTTTTTCATTTTTGTCTTCTCTCTCTGCCATCTTTTTGGAGAATTTCAATTTCAGTTTTATAGTTTTAGTGAATATTCTTAATTCAATGGCTTTACTTTGGTTTTTTTTTTTTTGGTACTGGGGATCAAACTTGGGACCTTGTGCTTGCGAAGCAGGTGGTGAGCTAAATCCCTGGCTCCTCAATAGCTTTACTTTGAATATCTAATCTTCACATTTAAAACTTTTTATTTTCATAGAAGTGAGGTATGGACTGGGTGCAAAATTAGATGAGTGAAATTAAGAATAAAATAAGCAAAACAAAATCCCGGCTTACAACATCCCCACCCCAGAGGTCGTGCTCTTGAGGCAGCTGTATTTGAAGGTAGCAAGAGCAGAACACTAGGTGACTCTGCTTCTTCAGGCAGCAACTTCATCCTTCAGCATGCATACATCCCATCTCCACCTAGGCTGCACTCCTGTCCCCCAGGCCCGCTCCGTTCTCAGCCTGCTTTGTCCCTGTGACATCTCTTAAGCGTCTCTTAATTTTAGTCCATGGTGTTTCTAACGGCACCGACTTAAACATTTTAAAAATTGAGATAAAGTCACATAATGTAACATTTACCATTTAATTATTTTAAAGTGAACCATTCAGTGGCCTTCACCACAGTCACAAGTTGTTAAACCTCCGCCAGGATCTAATTCCAGAACATTTTCAGAATCAAGAAGCAGCCTTAATCCGCCCAAGACCCACTCCTCCTGCCCTGGCACCCAAGCCACCTCTGTCCCCGAGGTTTCTCCATTCTGTGGGATCACAGAGGGGTCACAGGTCACTCAGCTTGCTGCCTGCCTCGTTCCCTGCTGTGATGTGGAGCACGGATCTGGGCTCCATCCTATTGCTCATGGGCTGTACCATGCCATACGCGTGTGTGTGCCAGGCCAAGCCACAGCATGCCATGGCAGCCCTGACCTTCACACCCAACACCTGTCCTGGACTTCATCTTTCTCACAACTCTCAGAGTGACTTTTGTCCCCCTCCTGGTGAGATGTCCCAACTCCCTCCATTCTGCTCCTCCCATCTCCTGCCCGAGTGTGTTGGGTCTGGCTGGCACGTTGCCAGTCCTTGTCCCTGTGGCGTCCTATGTCCCTGTGTCCCCTGCAGATGCTGACTGGGGATATGTGGGGACAGTCTCCAGGGTCCTGTCCTGACCAAATCCACATCACTCAAACCTTCTGCTAGCTGGGCTGGGTGCCAGCCAGAGTCTCTGGCTGTAGAGACCAACTACTGTCCCAAGGCACAGTTTTATTGCCTGTGAGCTCACTGCTGCCCCTGAAGGGACGTGGGCAGGGTGGCGTTGCCTGTCATCACTTCCACACTGTAGCCTGGCTCTTGGGAGGGTGACTGTGCTGCTCACCAGTGGCCTGAGCCTAGGCCCTGTGCCCACAGGCCTCCATCATGGCAGGCTCCGTGCCCAGCGCAGTCCTGGAGGGCGGACCTGGGCCCCGGGTCTGGAGGGGCACACGGGAGCTTCGCACATCTGCAGAGGAGCTGTGTGAGCTGCTGCTCCCCACGGCGCTGGAGATGCACAAGGTGGGCACAGGGAACAAGGAGGGCCTGATGCGCCCAGCCCTGAGGCCCCACCCCCGTTGTGGCCCTGGTCCCTGCCATGCCCTCCCCCTTCACCCCCTCCCCCGAACCCTCCCCTTCACTCCTCCACCCCCACCCTCAACCCATCCCGTGCCATAGCCCCACCCCGCAGCGGCCCGCTCCTGGCTCCATTCTCCACTACAGAGGAGGGATTTGGTCCTGGGTTGAGTTTTCCTCAGGCCTCACAATCTTGGTGACACACCACGCACACACATGAACACACTCACATGCAGTTATTTTTCTCTAAGTAGATTTGCTTTTATCCCCACTTCAGTGTGTGTGTATATATGCGCATAGCCAGACATGTTTGTGTGTGTGTGTGTGTGTGTGTGCGCGCGCGCGCGCGCGCGCGCATGCATGGCCACCCCTCCCCGCCACAAGTCCTGTGACTGCAGAGCCAACAAATCACACACAGAAAGTATCCCTGAAACTGCATTGTTCTGAGCACCAGCTGACTTTCCTGTCCTTATTCCCTAAAAGTGCAGCACAGCACTACAGACACGGTGTGTACACGGGCTGTGAGTTTCCCAGACATGTCTGGGAAGCGTGCAGTGCAGACAAATGCCAGTGTGTACGTGGACCTGAGCAAGGCAGGTGGCATGAGAGGGCTCTGGCATCTGCCCCTTGCTTCACGTGCACCTACCTCACGCCTTCCCTCTACCTCTGCATGAGGAGCCTCCCCCTCCTCAGGGTGGCTCGCTCTGCAGGAAGACAGAGCAGGAGACCCTTGCCTGGAGCTCTCTGAAGTCTGCTGTGCCCTGGGCACTGGAAGGGACATGGAGGCCATCTGCCCTCTGCAAGCAGAGGCCCGGTCTGGTGGAGGGGAGATGTACAGGATGCCCTGGGGGGCCTGGCCTAGGGACCCCAGTTCCCTGGGAGGCTGGGGAAGAGGTCAGAGCTGCAGGGACCCCCCTATGCTCCCAGGTGACGCTGCACAGAGACTCCACAAGGCGAGACTTCGGCTTCAGCGTGTCCGACGGCCTCCTAGAGAGGGGTGTCTATGTGCACACTGTGCGCCCTGGTGGGCCGGCCCAGCATGGGGGCCTGCGGCCCTTTGACCGGGTCCTGCAGGTAACAGGGGTGGGAATGGGGGGCACAGCTGTTCATCTGTAAAAGTCATGGCAGATGCACAGTGGGCACAGCTGTAATAGTGTTCATGAGGCTGAGGCAGGGGGATCTAGAGCTTGAGCCCAGCCTGAGCAACTTAGCAAGAACCTGACTCAAAAAATAAAAAGGGCTGGGGGATGTAGCTCAATGTGAAGCTGGGGGTTCTGCCCCCAGGGAGAGAAGCAGGTGTTGGGAGGCATGGAAGATGAGCCCTGGATGTGAGCCCGCACCAAGGCCTCACATGTAACTCAACCCAAGCCGGGCAGGACACCGCCGAGTCCCACCGCATCTCCCTTGCTGTGCTACACACAGGTCAACCATGTCCGCACGAGGGACTTTGACTGCTGCCTGGCAGTGCCACTCCTGGCCGAGGCGGGTGACGTCTTGGAGCTGGTGATCAGCAGAAACCCGCTAGCCCCAGGCAACCGGGCCCCGAAGGCACCAGGCCCCCGAAGCCCCCGGATGCTCTGAAGCCAGGGAGATCCCGACCTCAGAGCCACTGAGGACCTCTATGGGGCTGGCTAGGGATGTGGGAACCCCACTGTCCATCCATTGGGCTGGAAGACTCTGTGTTCTCCAATCCCATGGTAGATGGGGTACACGGGGTGAGGTCCCTGTCACAGCAGGAGTGACATCTGGACCCCTCCCACAGGCTGGGACGGGGCTCATCCAGGAAGAGAGGCTTGGGCCTCTGGGCCCTGAGGGCCTTCCCAGAAGGGCCATGTGGAGAGCAGCCAGGAGCTTGCAGGGAGTGAGCTCCAGTCACAGGAGCTGAGCAAGTCGAAGATGGACATTGGTGAAGTTAGGGGTCAAAGTGTGGCCCACATGGGTTCAGGGTCAGCTTCCTGATGGAGCCACTGCATCAGAGGCCCCGCACCCAGGACGCACCCAAGGCAGGGCTGTGCTTCCTGCTCTGGGCCCCCAGAAGGGGACTGAAGTCAATGAGTGACTGTCTCAGCATCTGGGACTTGAGAGAGGTTGTCATCCCAGGGAGGCTTGGCACCAGGCTTGAGGGTGCCCTCTGCTGGCTGTGTCAACCTCTCTGTGGGCAGAATCTGTTGGGGACAAAAGACCAGGAGGTTCCAGTCAGTCACCTGCCCCCTCGAGGAGGACAGGGAAACAGCGAGGAACCAGTGCGCCTTAGTGAAGGCACAGCTCCCCCAGGGCCAGAGCAGAGCAAGTAGCCCAGAGCCAGGTGGAGGAGAGGAGGTGTCCTCTGTCGCCTGTGAAGTTCATGCCCTCTGGAATCCGGAAGCACAGGGCCCCTACGACCTCAGCCCATGGAGCCTTTTTCATTTTGAGATGGGCATGGGTGGGGCTGCTCTGGGATGGCTCTGCCCCAGCTGACTGTTAGGGTCTTGGGAAGGCAGGGCACCTGCCCCACCTTCTCCACCCAGACTGCTCTGGGAGCCCAGAACTCATTTCCGCTGTGGGGACAGGTGGGGTCATGGATTCAGTCCTTGGCTGGGTGACCCCCTAGTCACATTCTGTGCTGGACAATCGAGGTAACAGTCTGAACAGTTACCGGCTTCCAATCACAGCCAGGACCCCACCCTGTTCCCCCAACTCAGTCAGCTCCCCAAGTGCCCCTGAAGGTCCTTCATACCTGTGACCAGCTTGCCCAGGTCTCTGAGCAGAAGCCAGGAGCCCCCTCGAGAGCTGGGGATCGCACAGTCTGGGCAGGGGGCTCAGCCTCTCCAGGCCTCTGCTGAGGGACAGGGCTGAAGTGGACACATTCCCAGAGCTGGCAGCGGCGTGGGGACACTGCTGGGATGAGGCCTCAGGCTGGGGGTGAGGGAGGATGTGTCCCTCGCCCGCCGCCCTGCCATCCTTGGGTGTATGCCCTGTGGTCCTCCAGACATATGCAACTGGCCTACAGCAGGCAGAGCTTCAGCCACGGCCAGCGGCCTACCCTTCTGGTATGCAATACCCTGCTTCTCCTGGGGCTGTCCCGACCACTCCCTGTCTCCCCTGCACCTGCCTGCTATGCACTTGAGGACCGCTGTGGCCCATCCTACCCCCAAAGCTGTATTTTTCTTTGGCTGGGACTAGAGCAGATTCCTTGTAAAGTATTTTTGTACTCAGTTTCTTAGGGCTCTGGGAAGCACAGCCCACTGGGCCAAGGCTGCCTGTGGTTTGCTTGGGGCCCGTATGCGAACCTCGGGGCAGTGCTGTTGGGGTGACTTTTTAAAATAAAATTATTTCAGTGTACCTGGATAGGTGGCTGCTTTCTCAAAAATCATTGGTGGGTGAGGGCCATTTTCTGTGTGGATCCCACAATATCTCACCCACTTTTAACTCATTCATTCATTCATTCATTCAAAGCCTGCCATACACTACACCTTCCACAGCCTTTGTGCCAGCACAAGACAGTGAGCCAAACAGCAAGGCACAAGGACTTCCTGCAGCAGTAAAGTACAATGAAGAAAACAAAATAGGGAGCCCACATGGTGGCATGTGCCTGTGATCCCACCACTCAGGTGGCTGAGGTAGGAGGATCTCAAGTTTGAGGCCAGCCCAGGCAACTTAGCAAGATCCTGTCTCAGAGTAAAAAAAAAAAAAGACTGGGGTGTAATCTAGTGGTGGAGCATTTGCCTACTACGTCCTGGGTGTGAGCCCCAGTACTGCAAAAAAAAAAGAAAAGAAAAAACTAAAAGCCGGTACAGAACACAGGGTCTGGGGTGAAGGGGACAAGGTGACAACTGCAGTGAGGACGGAGCTGTGCAGAACCCAGAGGAAGCGTCCTGCAGAAGGCACAGCAGGAGCAACAGCCCTGAGGTAGAGGTGATTGTGGCAGGTTCTAGGAAGGGGGGGCGCCCTGAGGGTGGGAGGGGTATGGAAGCCACTGAAACGAGTGAGGGGTGGCCCCATCTCCAGAGAGAAGTGGTGGCTTTGAGGTGGGAATAAGCAGCCCATCTCAGGAGGGATGTAATCAGTGGGGACATACTTGGCAGGACCTCACTGGGCCCCACAGCCTGCGGAGCGGGCTCTGTCATTGTGCCAGTGTGGTCTATGAGCAGCCAGGGTGCAGTAACCTGTCCAGGTCACACAGGCTCCAGGGATGGAGTCGGGACATCAGCCACGTGGCCGGGACACCTGGGGGGTGGACAGCGGCGACAGCAGAGTGACGGCGGGAGGAGCAGGGTTCCCTGACACAGTCACCAACAGTGAGGTCCTGGGGAGGGGCCGCTCCAAGCCCCAGGGGGGTTACCCTGTGGGGCAGTTGCATGCCTGTCACCTCCCAGCACCACTCTAACCACCCTGGGTACCTTATGGTGATAACGGCAACGCATCATTCCAGATAGGGAAACTGAGGCTCAGGGGACAGGTGCCAGGGCCCCAAGCAGCATAGGGTTGGGCAAACAGGCAGCGCCAGCAGAGTGGATGTGGCCAGGGCAGGGATGGGAGTATGGGGGCAGAGCTCCCCTCCAACACTCGAAGGGGCAGGCCACCATCAACACAGAAACACCAAAAAGCCATCTATAGCTATAGCTATATATCTGCCTCTGTCCATCTGTCTGTCTGTGATTGTTTTGAGACAAAGTCTCATTATGTATTTGAAGCTAGCTTCAAATACCTGGTGATCCTCCTGCCTCAGCCTCCTGAGTGCTGGGATTACAGGCATGTACCACCATGCTCGGCTCAGAAAGCTCTTCATAAACTGTAAAGCACTTGCCAAAAAGAAGAACCACCTCTCCCTGCATCAAAACACACCCTACACATATGGAATTTTAAAAAGGAAATGTTTATTGTCATGTTATAAGGTGATTACAAACTCCTCTAAAAAAAAGCAAAGATGAATTTAAAATATCGATATACATATTTATCTAAAAAGCAAAAAGGGGAAAACCCCCACACACCACAGGGATTCGGATCATAAAACATTTACACACAGAAGCCTGTATACCGTGGGACTGAATTACACACCTGGATCTTGTCCCAGTGCAGTTTTTGTCGGTTGATTTTTTTTCTTACAAAAGTTTAAAATATCTTAAAAATATTTTGAAGCTTTACAAAACTCCCGATGAGCCAGACATGTTTCTGGAAGGAGGCGAAACCCACGCTCTCCATTTCTCTTGTGCTAAATACAGAGTCACAGTTGTCAAGGACTGGAAAGATTCACTGGGTAGAAAAACCAGAGCTTCTGTCTCAGTTTGAAGCCAAAAATATAGTAGGCACCCCACCCTTGAGCATGTGCCAGCACGGTGACGCCACCAAGGACGGGACACAGCGCCCGGGGCCCCCGCTGTGCGCATCTTCCTCGCTCTGCCCCGAGGTTCTGCAGAGCTATTTAGGGCACCGGGTAGACACGGGTCTGAGGGCCACTGGGGCCTCTCCTGCCTCTCTTGTGTCCTCTCCTGGCCCATGACTGGGTCCTGGGGAGAAGGGGATGCTCTGCCCTTGGACTGGCTGCCCTGAGCACCTCCCCATCAAGAGGGCAGTGACAGGTGGTGATGGGGCCACGGCCACCATGGTGACACTGGGCCAGCAGGGAGCTCACCTGTGCACCTTCCTAAGTGTGGAGCAGCGTCCTTCCTTAAACCCCGCCAGCTGGCCCGGGGCTCAGTTTCCTTTCGTGTCAACAGGGCTCTTGGCTCCCAGAGGGCTGGGAGGAAGGAGGGGTGGCATCTCCTGCATCTCTGGTGGCCTGGGAGGACCTGGGCGCCACTGCGAGGAGCCACAGCTGGCCTGGTACAGTGCTGGCTTCTGTCCCTCCCATCCTTGGCCTCAGCGTCCCCACTTACAGGGCCCTCAGGGGTACCCTGGGGTGCTCCTGGCTGAGGCTCACCCTGGCCCTCGGTTCTTCCTGTCCAGACCTGGCAGAGTGGTGGGACCCCTCCCTGTGCTTGGAGCCATGGCTCTCAGCAGCGGTGGCACTGCCGTGGGAACAGACAGGCGAGGCAACATCGCACATGGACTTGTAGGGCGACGCGAGGTCAGAGGAAGACAGGTGTCTGGGGGGCCCAGGCACTCGCTGGCCTGTGCGCATCTTTGGTCTAAAATTTGGTCTGGGAACCATGCAGGAAGGGCTTCCTCTGACCCTCTGTCTGCAACCACAGACGAGGCCTCCTGGAGGGGCTGGAGCCAGAGGGAAGCACAATGACCACAGGAGCCTGGGCCGCCGACTGTCACCTGCCTTCCCTCGCTGACAGTGGTTAACAATTCCACAAGACAAGGAAACAGGTCACAGTGTCACACGATTAAACTTGGGGGGAACAAAGGGTCCAATCAAATCACTGACAAAATGTGGACACACAGGATGTCTGACAGCTGGCAAGGGTTGGGTGGTGTTTGGCAGAGTTTACAGCTTTAAAAACAGAAATACACACGTCACAGAAAAGCGGTCCAGCGCTGCCCCTAGAGAGGGACGCTGAAGACACCTCAACTCCCAAATCTGGGGGTGGGGGGTTCCAGGGTTCTGAGAGCCCTGCTTTGCATGCCGAAGCCCGCTTGCGCTCCATTCCTGCACCAACTGCCGCTGCCTTTGCACTGGTCCTGCTTCGGCTCTGAGCTGGCAAGGTCGGGGTGTCTGCGCTGGGTGGTGTGGATATGCCGTGCTTCTCCTGGTTCTGGGGTGCCAGCCCCCTGCTCCCCTGCTCTGCACATCACCTGCCTCCTCCCCCAACCCCCACGCAACGAATATCAGGGTGCACTGCCCCTGACCAAGGCCCTGCCTTTGAGCCCTGCTCCTGGCCTCCTTGCTGGGATCTGGGTGGTGTCAGGAGTCTCCCAGCCTCCGGGAATGAGGGCGAGAGGGTGGTGCAGGCAGCAGGCACTGGAGCAGTTGGGCCATACCCTGCTTGGGGATAGCCTGGGGCTGGTTCCTGGGCCGGTCTCAGCCCTGGGGTCTGGCTGGGATGGCTGGGAAGCACAGTGGCTCCCCAGCCTGGGTCCTGTCCCCGACACCTGTCCAGGTCCCTGGCTGCTTCCCAAGGCTGCCTGGACCTGAAGGTCCTGCTGACCTTCCACCCTCAGTCTCAAAATACAAGGTGGGGTTTGGCCATGTGACCTGCAGCCTACCGAGCTGGGATTTGCTGAGGACCACCCTCTGGGCTCTGGTCAGCCCCTTTGCCCAGGAGTCAGGCCGCTGTCTTGGCATCACTCTTCTTGGCCACTGTGCCCTCTCGGCCCCCTCTGCCCACCTGGACCAGCCTGCAGGCTGCACTTGTGTGGCATCTGCATCTTAGGAAAACCCGGTCCTGCAGGCTTGGGGTGGAGCTCTCTGCCAGCTCTGCAAGCACCGAAGAATTGCTTTTGATAACTAGATCTTGCTGGCAAGAAGATCCACTCATGTGGTAGAGTGTATGACAATCTCTAAGTATATATAGTTTTATGAAAAAAATACAAAGAAAAGTTTACCAAGTTCCCATAAAATACATCTAATCCCGTATGAAAGCTCGGCTTCTCCCCGGGGACTTCTGCCCGTGAATTTTCTTTTTGTACAAAATATCCCCAAATCAAAAACGAAACACACGCACACACAGTACACACACACACACACACACACACACACACACACACACGTGGAGTAACGTTTTCTGTGACAATTAAAAAAAAATCCTAGTGCAAATATAAAGCTCTGTAAACCTGGTCCTATGAGATCTAATGTTAGTAAACAGCAGGGCAGCGGCGGGGTCACATCATGGTCTCCACCACGATGTGCGTGGGCGGCATGAGCGCCCCGTTGGCAGCTGGGCGCGTGGTGAATGGCGTGGCCCCCTCGCGCTCCACGGCCCAGCGGTTGGGCTCCCTCGGGGTCAGGAGGTACTTGAGCCGCTGCAGGGAAGAGAGGAGTGGTGGGTGAGCCAGGAGGAGGGGACCTCGCCACCCCCTCTCCAATCTCACGGTGTGCTGCCTGGTGCTTGGCACTGCCACCTCTCCAGACCACCTACTTTTTTGTCCTTTTTGCAGAGACAAGAACCAAGGTGATGCCATGATCCTGAGAGGCTCCAACTTGGGACAGCCATTCCTCAGCCGGCCCCCACTGTTTCTCCCATTTGCAGCCCGGCTCCTGCGGCCTGTGAGCCTCCTGTGTCCAGCCTTCCCCAGGGAGAAGCCCCAAACAACTGCACTGCCTGCTCACTCTGGACAGAAGACCCGGCTGGCCACATGGGGACAGGGAAGGAAATGGCCTGGAACCCTCTCCTCTTCGGGTGCACACACAGGCCTCCCATGCTGCCCATTAGGGAGCCGCTTGACGGTGTCTGGAGTGAGTGAGGGCCTGGATGCCACCACAGCCCCGCCAAAGGGGAAGAGCAGTGGAGAGTAGGTATAGTACTTCCTTTAGAAACCCGATTTCTACTCCTTTAGACATACCCAGGGCAGGGAGTCTAGGGCTCTGGGCCCCGGCTGGTGGGGATCCCCACTTCTGCCTCTCACACCAACGTGCACCTACAAACCCCTCAAAGGGGCAGTGTTTCACAGGCTTTGAAGGGACACCAGTCAGGGACAAGCATACGGAATGGCCATCCAGAACTCTAACGACCACGTCTCACATGAACCCCTCAATGTCTGTGCAGGAAAAGGATCTGGGGCAGGCCCAGCCCCTCGGTCCCATGGCACCTGACAGGGCCACTGGGCTCCAGCTCTGCAGCCTTCAAAACCACAACAGGCCCAGGCCCGAGGGACAGGTTCAGCTCCAAGTGCCCCTGTTGCTTCCTCTCCTCTCTGTCCCTGTTCCTGCCCACAGCTCCCCAGGCTGTCAGCAAACCATCCACGTTCACTTGACCGTGGGGAGTAGGGCTTCAGCACATCCTGGCTCCAGACTTCTAAGAGAGAGGCACCGGCAAACAGCCCTGACCCACTGGACTGGGTGTTGGGAGCTTGGAGCTTGGAGCCTGGAGCTGGCCCAAGCCCAGGGCAGGGAGACCAGGGAGGGGCTTCTGGGATGAGCCCTGGGCTGCCTCACTAGAAGGGCCTGAGAGGAAGAGATGGGGATGGGCAAGGACTCAGGGGACAGGCTGGGACCTGGCTGCCCTGAGGCAGAGGTGGCTTCCATTGGCCAGGTTACCATGGGAACTACATTTGGCTGGAACAGGCCTGGTGCCCCCCTCAGGTAGAGCCCAGCTCCCAGCTTGGCACCCGAAGCCACCATCACTTTGGCACCCTTCTGCCCCTCCCAGGCAGGTCCAAGGTCAAAGGCCTGTACAGAAGGTGCCACCCAGCCTCCTCCTCTGACCACTGGGGGAGGAGCCACTGGTGTGGACAGATATACAGGAGGAAAGGCCACACAAGAGGATGACCACGCAGGAGAGACGGCCACGTAGAAGTGATAGCGACCTGCCCTGCCCACCCCACCCACTGCTTACCACACGCAGTGGCCCCTCAGTGCGGCACAGGCGGATGAGCATGGCCAGAGGGACACACACCATGGAGGAGAGGGCCAGGCCCCAGCCCAGCCCGATGGCCCAGGTCGGGTACACGTAGACCTTGTTGTAGGTCAGGGGCACATACTTCACGAGCGAGAAGACGAAACAGCCCTGCATGTGGAGAGACAGGGTCAGGGATGATCCAGCTGGGAGCAGTGTGCAGGCCCATCCTCCACCCAGTCTATACTGCAGCAGCAGGTCTACACTTCAGCACTCAGCCTACTATCAGCCTACTCAGCACCGTATCTACACACAGCACCTGGTCTACATTCCAGCACCCAATCTACACTCAGTACCCATTTGCATTCAGCACTGGGTCCCTCTGCCTCCTCTTCTCCTCTCGCCCTCTGCCCAGGTGCTTGCCTGCTGTGGTTTTGACTCCTCTCCTTCGAGTTCCTCCCCTGGTTGGGGCTCTGCCTGCTCACTGCTCACTGCCACTGCTTCCCCAGTGCCAGGAAGGACTGGGGACAATCAATGAAGGGCATGGACAAAAGCCTCCTGTCCCCCACTGCCAACCCCAGGACAGGCTCAGGTCCCTGGCCTCTGCTCTGGAAGATGCACCGCTGGGCAGTCTGGCTGTCACAGGTGCCCCATGCTGTAAAGATGTGAGGAGGATTGATCCTTCCCAGTTGATGGGGAACAATCCACTTAAAACTGACTTGAGGTCACTTGCTGCTTGCTACTTTTGGTGCCTTCTGCCCACCATGAACTGTTTCTCCTCTGATGCCTCTCTGCCATGCCACCCTGCCTTGGAGCCAGTCAACTATGAACTGAAACCTCTACAAACTGTGAGCTGAAATAGACCTTTTCTCAAAAAAACCTAACTTGACTTTGGGAGGGGAGAGCACCAGCTGCAGACAGCAGCACCTCCACCCACCCTGTCCTTCGATTCCACCGTGGGCTGCACAGGGACCAGGCCACATGCTGGTATTTCCCCTCCTCGAGGTCAGAGAGGCCCATAAATGAGACTTTAGGGTGGGGGACAGGATTGGGCTGCAGTCTGTGGGCTGCACCTCACTTGCCATGGGGTGGTGGCTGTGGGGATTACTTGGGTAGGGGGGACAATATGTGCCTGGCAGGGACAAAGGCCACATCATATAGTGTGACAGTGGCCTCCTTGTCTTTCAAGCAGGGAAACTGAGGCCAGTGAGGGCTTGAGCTGGCCTGGGGTCACACAGTGCTACTCAGGTGTCTGGGATCAGAGCTGGGGGGCAGGGGGTGGGCGTGGCACACGGCCTATTTGTCCCCCCACACCTGGTTCCTAATGCAAGGGACACCTGGGCCCTGCACATTCCCCAAAGTGCGAGCTGAGCAGCAGAGCAGTGTGCGCTGTGGAGGAATCCCCACGACCTTGACTCAGGGCACGTACATATGCCAAGGTTGCCTCCGAGATGGCAGGCACTGGAAAGTCCTCCCTGTCCTTTGTGGGGATATCCCCTCTCCTGGACACTGCCTCCACCCCATGTGGAGATCTGTGTCTCTACTTGACATCCCAAAGGCCCCTTTCTCCAGCATCCCCAGCACCCGAGTGCCACGGGGCTATGGAAGCTGTGTCTCAGCTGGGGACTAGATTCCCACAGCTTGCACCCCTTCTCTGTCACAATGCCCTGCCTTGCACATGCTGTGCCTCTGCCAGGAATGTCTGTGCTGACAAACTCCTACTCATCCTTCAAAACTCAACCCAAGGCAGTCATCTAGAGCATTCGTCCCTCACTGTCCCAGGTGGTGCCATGCCCACCCCCGAGGGATCCACTCCCCAGAGTCCAGGCCGTGCGGCACTCACAACACAGAGAACAGGGGTGATGACAGCCCAGCTGTACTTCATCCAGGGTCCAGGCCGGTAGCCAATCATGTCCTCAATACCATCATAGAAGTTATCACCCCCTGCAAGAGAAAGCAGTGAGCTGAGGGGACGTGGTCTCCAGGGCCACACTGCCTGGGAGCACGGAGGCAGGGCATCCCATCCCCATACCACAGGAACGTGTGCTCAGACACTGGGCCGAGGTCAAGGCCATGGCCCCCTGGGCAGGCCCCAAATCCTACAGTGGCCACCGAGGCCTCCAGGAGCCATTTCTGGACCCCAGAGTGGGAGTCGCAGCCAGCCCAGCACCCCGGTCCTCCCATGTCACAACACCCGTCACACCTCGCGCTCCAGCGAGGGGCAGCAGGAGGGAGGGAGGCTCACAGGCTCGGTCCCGCTCCTGCTGTGTCTAGGAAAGGAGCTGGGAGGAACGAGAGGGCAAGCAGACCCAGTACTCACCATAAATCCAGGCAATAACAATACATTCAAAGAATGCAACCCACAAAAGGCATACACCGCTAGCTGCATAGTAGTCAAAGAGTTGAAACACGTACATGCCACCCTGCAGAGAAAATTGGGTGCCGGGTTGGTGCTGGGCAAGTCCCTTCCTATACAAAGAGCTTAGCAAAACAATAAAACTCTAGGACCAGGATCACAAGCTTAGCGCTAGCCACCTGCCTTGCAAGACCCCAGCTTCCACCTCCAGTACAAAAACAGCACCCAGGAGCCTGAAGCAGGAAGATCGCCACAAGTTCAAAGCCAGCCTGAACTACATAACAAGACCTTGTCTCAAAAAAAGGAAAAGCGGTGACCTGAGAACTGAGCTGGGCTGGGAACGACTGCAGCACAACTCCCCACCTCCCACAGGATGCAGTGGAGAGCACACTCCCTGCCTTCAGGCTCCTGGCTTTTCTGTGTTGCCCAGATCCCCCTCAGGGCCCTGCTAAACCCAGGCACCCTCCCCAGCTTGGGGGGGAGAGAGCAGGGCCCAGGGCCCAGGAACAGTCAGGCCTGGGTCAGTGCCCCTGGGCACAGCGGGATGCGGGCAGAGCAGGCTCTGGTAGAGTGGGACTGAGGTAGAATGTGAGCTTGGGCAGAGCAGGACCGGGGCGGGGGGAGGGGGTGGGGGGGCCACCACCTACCTCCGTCACCATTGTCAGCCCCAGCAGGTAGCTGATGCTGCACACAATGGCAATGAAGACTTCCCGGCGATAACCCTTCCTTAGGAAGGATGGGTAAAGATCCACCAAGGATGTGATCTGTCCCTCGACTTCAACAAACTGCAGGAGAGGACAGACCTGAGTGGAGGCCACACCTCCCAACACAGGCCAGGGCTGACCCCAGGGTCACACACAGGTCCTTCCCATCCCAGTGGCCTCTCATCACCCAGGCTCAGCTCTGAACACAGCATCTCTGGAGGCCATGCGGACCCCAAGGGACTCGGGTCACCAAAACAACCTCCCTCCTGGTCCTTGTCCTCTCACACCCAGGCCTTGAATGCCAAGCCAAGCCCCAAACCCATGGCCCTAGGCACTAACTTACTGGGTGACTTAGGGCAGGCCTGGGCTTCACCTTCGCCATCAGTGGCCATTCAGGTCAGGTTCCCAGGGGGGTTTCTGGCTCCATGGCAATTGCTTGCCCCGTATGTAAGCCTTGGTTTCATCTGAGACTTGGGAACCTCTGCCTGGCCTCCCAGGAAGGTCCTTCTTCAGGTAGCGTCCTGGGATGGCTCTCGGGCTTCCTGAGTCTCCCTGTCTTTGTGCCTAACAATTTCTCCTGAACACAGTGCCACATCATTACATGGAGAGCAACCCGTTTCTTTGATGACAGCATGAATCCTCACGCTCTGGACACAAACCATCATTGGCCTGACCCATGCCCAACACACATGTCCAGGCTCCTGTGCCTCCTGCCTTGGGAGAAACCTCTCCTCTCCACTCTTATCCAGGAACTGGAGCTGGGTCTGCAGCAAGATCTTGGGGTGCAGCACTGGGTTCCAAGGGCCCAGGGCACAGGCTGCACCCCAGCTGCCCCAGGCCATCTGATCAGGACCCAGTTTCCTCCTGCTCCTCTGGGGCCTCATGGGGTGACAAACTCAGTGGTCGCCAATGAGGAGACACCTGGTCCTGTGCTATAGGAGATGGGGTGGAGTGGGGTTTCTGTGGGCCACAGCGACTAGGAACAGAAGAGCAGCTGTGAAGCCAACCCATGCCCCAGCATCAGGCCTTGCAAGACATGCCTTTCCCTTTCCTGAGCAGGGGAATTACAAACAGGAAGGGCTAGGGTCACTGTGCATTCATCGGGGGGCCAAGACTGGTCCTCACTTCTAGCCCTGCCCTCCTGAGAGCCCCTCCAGCCTCTGTGGACCCCGCCTAGCAGGGTCGGCTAAGTGCTTTCCTGTAACCATGAGGAGACACTAAGCAAGGTCTGTGAGGATCAGGGCCCTGGTGACTGCCCTGGCCCTAGCTCCCAGGTAGAGGGGAAAGGAAGTCCTGGTTTGTGGCACTTGGGACTGATGGATCCGAGCTGTGCCCAACCCCCGGGCACCCTGATATTAACAGGTACCTGCCGGCACTGGTGAGGGACACGCCCAGAAAGCAAGAGGGTATTGTGATCTCCTGCCCGATATGAGGCTCTTCCTGTGGACTCAGAGGCAAAGCCACTGGGGCACACAAGCATCTGGGGACAGGCGGCCCAGGGTCTCCCTTAACTAGCTGTGTGTGGCCTTGACAAAGACTCAATTCCTCTCAGCCTCAAAGGAAGAAGAGGAAGAAGAGGAGGAGGAAGAGGAAGAGAGGAAGAGAAAGAGGAAGAGGGGAAGGAGGAACAGGAAGAGGAGGAGGAACAGGAAGAGGAGAGAAGAGGAAGAGGAGGGCCTGTGTTTAGCAGGGACCAGGCTCCAGCTTGGAGAGACTCGGAGGTCCCGGAGGGGTGGCACTCAGCTGCCCAGCATGGGAAGGTGCTAATGGCCATGTCTGCTCACTTCCTACAGGCGACATGAACCCACAGGTGACCTTGCAGAGGGGCGTGGGTGGCCTTGGTAACATCTGGCACCCTGGCACTCTGATCCCATTGAGGGTGGCATCACTGCCAGCTGCAAACCTTCCCTGTCCGTCAGAGTACCAGTGCAAATGCACACCGAGGCTGTCAGACACCAGCTCCTCCATCCTGCCCCAAGCACTGGAGGCCAGGGACCTGGTTGCCAGTCCACTCTGGCCCTGCCTGAGTGAGCGGGCACTAACAATCTTTCCTGAGGTTCTCTGGGAAATCTAGCTCACAAGCCCTTCCTCAGTGGGGTACATGACCCCAGGACAGCGGTGGCTTTTCCCTTGGGGCTCCAGAAGGCCCTGGAGCCACCCCTGCTGTTGACAAGCTCTGGTCCACAACATCCACATGTGTTTGGCTCTCAGTCTCCGAATCTCTTCATCCTGTCTCCTCCCTGATCCGAGGCCTTCCTGCGAATCCCCACCCATGCCTGACCTTGCCGGCTACCCACCCCTCTCTGACTCCTCTCTTCTGCCTGGACTCTGACAGCTGTGGCCCTTGGCAGGGGGGGACCAGACCACATGGGGGCTGTGTCCCATGCCACCTGCCCTGTACACCGAAGGCACGTGCTGGGATCTTACACACTTGACATGGCCCCAGCACCACACACCCTTCCCAAGGGAGAGGGCTGGTGTTCCGCACCATCACCTAGCCCATTTCGGGCCTGTGCCTAGCACTTCTGGAAGGCAAGGTGGGCAACACCATGCCCCGCCTCAGAACCTCACACCCTGTCTACTCCAAGGCCATACCCAGGCATGCCAGCATTCTCAACATGCCTGGCAGCAACCTGCCATGTGTGTGGCTGGGCTGGTCGGGCTCAGAAGCACGGGACTGGGCACCCTCTGTAGCATAGAAAGTGTGTGCTCTGTATGGACCAGGCTCTGGCGGCTCCTGGCCACAGACCCAGGAAAACAAAGTGAGCACCAGAAAGTTGCTGTGTGTGTCCAAGTCCTGCCTAGAGGCCAGGAGGCCAGAGGCCTGGATGCCGGCAGAGCCTGAGGCGGGGACGGTCACCCACTTGCTGCAGGAAGCACTTCTGCTGCACGGTAATCACTCATCGGCTGAATAGAGGCCAGAGATGTTGGCTCGCATTGCGTGGCCTTAGCTGGGGTGATGACCTCCTGGTCATTTCTCCTTGCTGGGGCACTGGGGTAAGGAGGTATCACCCTGCTGCCACTGGAGGTCTTCCCTGAGATCTGGGGATCCCACTGGCTGGAGTCTGGAGGGTGTCATGGGGAGGAAGGTGGCCGCACAGACACTTACCTGGCTATCCAGTCCCAGCAGGAGGAGCATAATGAAAAAGAGAATGGACCAGAAGGTGGGCAGTGGCATCATGGTCACTGCCTTCGGGTAGGCGATAAAGGCCAGGCCGGGTCCTGAGGAGAGAGCGGGGCATGGGGAGAGACCATGAGCTGTGTGGCCTCAGACCCGGCCTCAGGGCGCTCAGGCCGAGGCATCTGGCCAAGTGCGAGGGCCGGGTCTGCTCTGCGAAGTGGGCATGTGGGCCTGGGAGGGGCCCCATTTACCTCTGTGTCTTACTCGGCTTGAGGGGCCCCTCATGGACCTGGGGTGGGACACAGGCTCCTCAGCCGGGAGAGGCCAGACCCCCTCCCACCCCAGAGCCACCGGCCCACAGGACAGAGGCCGGGGAGTCTGCCTACCGGGGCCCTGACCCCTGGATGGACTGCAAAGAAAATGCTGCTGTTGCTGAGCTACTGACTAATTACTGTGGGAGCAGAAGCAAAAGAATACCGCCACTCCCGCAGGGCAGGGCCCCTCTGTGGCACCCAGGAGGCAGGGCAGGGCCTGGCCAGAGATGGTGGCCCTGTTCTTGCCCTTGCACCTCCTGCACAGGCCTGCTGGGGCCCGGCCTCCCCTTGGGACAGAGGCCAGGGCCATATCCTCCAATCCCACAGCCCGAGGAGCCCTGTAGGAATAGCCCTGCACTCGGACAGTGGCCTCCCCGAGTCTCCGCAGGGGCCAGGGAAGATGGACACCACACTGCAAAGGCCAGCCTCGGGGCCTGGCTGTAAAATACAACCAACCTCTAAAAAGCAAAGCAAAAACCACCTCAAGAAGCAAGATGCAAGAAGGGCCGTAAGCAAGAAGCCTGAAACATGTTCTAAAGTGGACACCAGAAATACACAAATGGTTTAAGAATGGGAAAAGAAAATCCACAAAAACAAACTGTTTTTGCAAGAAATTTGAACCAGGAGCCACACTGCAGGCATGACAGTCCCTAATGTGTGGGGAGGGCAAGTCCTCCACAACGCAGAGTCTGCCTGCCTGAGAAATCCCCACCGAGACAGTGACGCTGGGTGTGGGGTCCTCACCACACCTGGGGTGCTTGAGAGACAAGCAGGAGACAAAGATTCGGCTCAGAAAAAAATCACCCCCTCCCAGGAACCCCAGACACACTCTGCAATCAGAGTTGATGTTGGTACCCAAAGACGCTGCAAGTCCACCCAGGTGGGGACCCTAAGGTCCCTGAATGCGCAATTCCAGCCCCAGCTGACGCACACCAAGGAGAAACCGAGTCCAGCCGGACGCGAGACATGTAAAATGGAGTCCCATCACCCCCACCCACCAGGGCACTGGGAGGGCCCCAACTCGCTGTGGTTCTGCATTTCAGTTCTGCCTTCCTTGAGCCTCTGGGGGAAGGTCCTTGTGTCCCTCTCTGAAGCCTGTGGTTACTGAAGTCCCAAGACGGGACCATGGCCTGGAGGCCTTCACCAGCCAGGAGCTGGGCTATGCCTGGCTGTGTCCCCATGGCTGCATAGCTATGTCCTCATGTGACCGCAGCTCAAGATGCTGCCGGTGAGAGCTCATCAGAGACATAATCGTCCTTCACATGCAACTGTTCAGACACCAGCATGGGGAGTGAAGGACAAGTGGACAGGAAGAAAACAACCAAGGCTGATGGCTGATGTACAGAACACCCAGCATCCCCAGGAAAGGCTACTTCAAGCAGCACAGCCACAGTGCCCTCCACAAAAGCGGCTCCCCGGTGATTGGGGTCTGCTTGTGAGCCATCTGCTGGAAGAATACCACACGAAACAGGCTGTGGTGGGTGACTGGGTCCCTGGCACCCCCCAACTCAGGTGGGTGCTGTTGCAGGGTGATCGTTTAGGGTCCCCAGCCTCAGGGGCTAACAGGAGGGAAAAAGTAGATCTGGGGCTGGGTGGACACAGGGCAAGAGGAGAGGCATGCGGGTTGGATGAGAACTTGAATGAGGGACCACAGTCCCAGGTCTTCGGACAGGACCAGGACTCCCGACCAGTGGGGCCCAGGACATTGTCACAGTGGAAGGCTGGAGGTAGCTGCACCTTCGGGGAGCAGGGGGCTGGGGAGGGACGTGTCATGGTGAGGGGCAGCACAGACAGGTGGGCGTCTTACCAACCCTAACCTAATTAACCTAATCCTCACCTCAGTCTTAACTCTAACTCTAACCCTAACCCTAATGCCAACTCCATCTGAGATGTAGGTGTCAGCCCAGGTGCCTGCTGACCCTCGATGTGGCACCCGGGTTCAGGCCTGAGGACCTGTGGCGTGACCTGATCCGCGAGACCTGTCCGTTCTGCCGAGTCCCTGAGTCACAGCCCGGGCCTCAGCCCAGCATGTAGCACAGAACCTTGTGGATAACTGGTAACCCCTGATCAGGGATGGGCAGGACAGGGTGGTGGAGGCCAAGGGGCCTTGGGGACCCTACCCTCAGAACCACATCCAGACTCCAGCAGCTGGAATATCCTGGACCCAGAAACCTGGGGCACCATGGTGGATTCGGGGCTCAGACAACCCCTGTGACACCGAGGTCCAAGGTCTCACATCCCAGGATGTGGAGCCCTGGATCTAAATCTCCAGACGTCCCGCAGAGGGGCAAGTGGCCAGTGGGGCCGTGCCCAGGAGTGACAGTGCTGAGTCCCCTGCCTCTGCCCTACAACAGCCTCCCAGGCCCTACCTTCCCGTCCCTGACCCCTCACCCTGAGCTTCGGTGGAAGGAATGAGGGAGGGGATTTCCTGAAGGTGACATGTGGCCGGCCTGCGTCAGGACAGCGGTTTCTGTGGCCAGGAGGGGACAGAGGCCGTTTGCTCTCTCCCAATCCGACACCCATGCTCCTGCCGCCCCTCAGGCCACACCACATGACAATCCTTGAATGGCACCTCAGTCCGGGTGGGGCCTCTGGTGGGGGGCGACAGAACCAGGCTCCCCCCGACCCAGGGTCTGGCTTCGCGCCGGCAGCGCTGGGCTTGCACACTAGGTGGCAGTGCCCACCACCACTGCCACCGACACCACCGTACCTGACTCAGCCACATCAGCAATGTCCACCCCTTGCTCTTGTGCCATGAAGCCCAGGATGGAAAAAATTGCGAAGCCAGACACAAAACTGGTACCACTGTTGAGGCATCCCAGCAGCATACAGTCCCTAAGTCACACACGTCAGGGAGCAAGTTAATCACAGCGCAGGAAGCCGGGCTCCCTACTGTCTGTGCACAGCGCCGTGGCGGCGGCACGGCCTGTGGCGCGACACTTGCCTGTACGAGTTGTACTTGTACTTGTTGTAGCTCCCCAGAGACGTCATGGCGCCCAGGCAGATGGCATAGGAGAAAAAGATCTGCGTCCCCGCATCGATCCACACCTGGGCGGGCAGGGAAGGAGGCGCCATCAAGGCCAAGCATGTCCTGCCACCAGCAAGGGACCTGGCAACAACTTGGGGGCCCCACACCACAGCAGGGTCGGCGCCATGCCCATCAGCATGGCCAGGAATGACCATCTTACAGGGCCCCAGCTGTCACCTCAAAGTGGGGACTCCATCCTGGCGCAAGGAACTGGCCCTCAGCTCAGAGGTGGTCAGCTGCCACCCTGACGGTCATGGCTGTTGTCAGGGACCTCGAGTGCTATGGGACGTATGGGGAAGGTGGCCCCGACCCTTCAGCATGTAGCTCTTAGACTCTGGCCACCCTTCTCCCTCTGCCCCTTGAGGGGCAGAGGACAAGCACGATGTCCCCTAGGTCCCCCGCCTTTCAGATCTGCCTTGCACTCCCAGGGGCCTCTGTGATGGGCAGGACAGGTGGGCACTGCTAGCTGTAGGGGCAGGAGCCCAGCCTGGGGCATGTCTCAAGGTCCCCAGAGGAAAGGGACACGCATCTGGGAAAGGTGCTGGCAGGTGTGGCTCAGAGCTCAGGAACCCCCTGCCCACCCAGCCCCGTACCTGTGGGTCCTCCAGGCGGCTGATGTCAGGGTACAGGTAGAACTTGATGCCTGCACCTGCGCCAGGCAGCGTCAGCCCGCGGATCAGCAGCACCAGCAGCATGGCGAACGGGAAGGTGGCCGTAAAGTAGACGACCTGCAGGGACAGGAGGCAGTGGGCTGGGGCCCCATCCCTGGGCTGAGGCCTGGGTGGCGCCTGACCCCTTCCACAAGGGTTGTGGGGTCTGGGGGAGTTCAGGAACACACTCCTCATTACTTCAGCAACACCAAGCCCAGAAGATGAGGATGAGGCAGAAACCAAGTCCCTGCCCTGGGGGACACTGTCAGGAGGGTTGGAAGTCACAGCAAGGAGATAGGGCGTGTGAGGGCAAGGCCAGGTGAGGCTGCCACAGCCAGTTCAGTGGGTGTTGGGGGACACAGCTGTCACTTCACTTCCTGTGGTTAAGGGTCAGTAAGCCTGGGTTCAAATCCCATCTGTGTCCTTCATTTGGTGGGGAACATCAGGCATGTTGCTTAACCTTTCTGGGTCATGGTTCTTCATGTATAAAGTGGGGACACTTGCAACCCTAGCTATGAAGGAGGCTGAGGCAGGAGGATTACAAGTTCACACCCAGTCTTACCCTCTAGGTGAGATCAAGACTCCAAATAAAATCACAAAGCCTGATGCTGCGGCACAGCGGTTGGGCCCTTGCCTAGCAGGCACGAGGCCTGGGTTCCGTCCCCAGTGCAGGTGCTCGGGAAACCGCCCATTCTGACCCCGGTTTGGTCAGAGGTGAGTGGGAACATCTGGGAAGGAGCGACACCTGGTCATCTCACTCCCCTGGCCCCCGCCTGGTAACCCTGCGCCCACCCCAAGGCCAGTGGGTGGTAGCCACCCCACCTCCAGGCTCCACTGTGAGGTGCTGTCCCTGCCCCCAACATGAGAGCTGGGGCCCGCAGCTCTGAGGTCCCCAAACCTGGCTCATGGGGCGTTCTGCCACCACAGCTGGTAATCAGCTCCAGCCAGCATCTTTAGCTATCTGCGCCACTGTGATCCTAGTCTTGCCTGTGCCACCCTCCCTAAGGGTGCAGCCTTCTCCAGACCTCAGTTTCCCCAAACAGCCCCCATGATTCTTCAAGGCCGGGCAGGCAGACCTGTAGGATGAGGGCAGGTCAGGAAGTCACACAAAAGGATGGGCCTGTTGCCTCCCTTCCTGCAGACAGGCAGGCAGGCGCCCAGCAATGCCACCACCTCGCCGGTGGCCGCGCCCGGTTGGGACAATAGCCACATGCAGCAGCCTGGCAGGGTCCCTGGTGGGGGGCCACACTTCAAAGTAGCCTGGGTGGCCAGGCAGAGCCCGGGGCCTAAGGAATCTGCCTTGCCTGTCCTGACTCAGCCTCCTCCAAAGGTGGCCTTGTTTTGCAGCCTTGTGCCCCTGAGAGCCATGCTCCCAGCTTCCTGGGCTCCCTGGGGTCCTGAGGAGGAGCCTTGCCAGGTGCCACAGCGGGCTGTGGTGATTTTCCGCTTGTGCCGGGAACCATCCTGGCTGCTCTGAGCACTTGACCCCAAGCCCTGCAGCCCGGGTTCCCTGGAAACTCAAAGGGACAATTGTCATTGCCCATGGGGTCGGGGGGCATGGGGTCGCTAAATCATTCTATGCAGAGAAACTGAGGATGTGAGCAGGAAGAAACCTCATGAAGACAGGAGGTATGGAGGGCAAAGTGGTGACCCCAGTTCTAATGCCCATACCCTGATTCTCAGCCTTGAACAACTCAGCGGCCCAGCTACACACAGCCATGCTCCCTGGGATGCCACACTCTGGAAGGGCAGGACACAGGGGAGGCTGGGCGGACACTGGGCCTTGGTCTCCCCGTCTGGGATATGGGACCCTGGCCACATTCCAAGGGCACTCTGCCACCTTCATGTATGTGGAGCAATGGTGCTGTAGCCAGACTCTGAGGGCCCTGAATGTCACAAAGGCGTCCGTAGCCTGGATGCCTGATGGGGTCACTGCAGAGGCGGCCAGGCTCAGGAGGTCCCCAGGGTCTGTTTGTCTTGGCTGCTCCAGGCTGCCCAGGCCAGGCCATTGTTCTGGGACCACACCCAGCCCTGGGGGGGTGTCGCTGGGTGGGGTCCCTGAAAGTCACGTCTCCCTCCAGGGAGGCTCTGGTTTGTACCCACTGCACGTCAGCCTCCTACCCAGCCCAGGCTCCCAGGGTTCTGACAGGACAGACCTCAGGGCCTTTGCATGGCCAGGCCCAACGCAGTCTCCCCTCTGGACACCTGTGCTCTGCTTCAAGCCCCGCCCCACTGCCCTACTTTAAATGACACCCATGGTTCCTGGTGTCCTTTATCACATCATTCCTTCCCATGTTCCCCATCACCGCAGCCTCTGCTCCTGGCATACAAGGAGGCTCAAGAGCTCTGGACTGCAGAGTGCATGCCTTTGCTCCACAGAAATCTCCTACACGCTCCTGTCTGTGGGGAAACCGAGGCAGGGCAAAGGAGATGACTCATGTTCACCAGGCCCCTGGTGCCAGGCATTTGAACCCTCATACACTACAGATGAGGAAACTGGCTCAGAGGTAAGGGTGTCGAGGAAGAAAAGGGGTGGCTCGAGGGGCAGGAGCCCTCCAAGGAGCCTGGAATACCATCTCCCATCCCTCTTGCCCCCATCTAGGGAGCGGTTTTCTGACGCCTGGGTCCCAAGATGGCAACAGGACAGCTGGCCCTAGGGAACTAGGCAGAGTGTGGAGGGTGCTGGGGCCCAGGAGGCATGGTCCCTGAGCCATAAGCACCACAGGGGTGGGGGCTAGGGGGCCAGATCACTGCACCCTGGAGGGCATGGGACCCACCTTCCTGCCTCTCTCCCCTCCCAGCCCCATGATGGGTGCAGCCTCCTGGCCAAGGCAAAAGCCAGCGACACAGACCGGAGCCTCTGCACTGTGGGCCCCTCAGCCTCTGCTGTGGTGAGTGCTGGTGTCGGGGCTGTGTCACAGCAGCGGGAGGCTGAGGCACGCAGGGCACTCACTCGGGTCCCCACAGGTGACAAGAGGCATCTGAGGCCCCGTTCGACTCTTCCCTCCCTTCCCTCCCGAGGCCGAGGCCGAGGCCTCCATCAATGGTAAGAGGCAATGGGGGCCAGGCCTGTTCAGCTGCGCCCTCCATTCACACCCTCAACTGCCACCCAGAGACTCTCCTGACTTGGGGCCTCTTCAATCTCAGCGATGAATTATGGGGGGAGTCTCGAGGATGGTATCAGTCCCTGGCGACACAGCTCTAGGCTGCTGGGCCCTGAGACCCCTGTGCCGAGTAGTGTCTGGTTATAGACTCCCTGCGCTAACATGACGGTGGGTTCTCAGCTATGGTCTTCACCACCAGCGGCCACTCCTGTGAGTGCTAATGTCCTGCTGCAGTGTCACAAGCCAGTCACACCAAGTTCCCCAGCTATAGGCAACCCCAGGGCTGGAGTGAGCTCCCCAGCTGCAGGCGGATGATATCAACAGCAGCCATGCTTTCCTGAGGACTGACATTAACAGCACAGCTAAAATCTTAGCTAGAGGACAGCTCGGCCAGTCGGCCTCGGCAGCTGTCCCCAGCCCGTACTGAGACTACCCCATGCACGGGGATCCTGGGGACTGGTGCCAGGCCCTCTCCTATGTAGCTGGCTGCCCTGCCCTCCCTATGGCCCCTGGCAGGGTCCACGCTGCCAGCTCCCGGCTCAGAGCTAACAGCACCAGTAACCTGTGCACATGGCACAGGCCACCCTGCTGGAGATGGAGACGGCTCGGCAGCCAGAAATCTCATGAGCCGCCAATTAAAACACAGGCAACATGAAGGCAGCCAAGGTGGGTGTTCGTGGCCCCAAAAGGGCAGGTGCCACGCTAGGGCTCTGTTCCATGGCGTCTCTTTGGGGGGCACACCCCACCTACCTTCCCTGTGGAGCGCACGCCCTTCCAGATGCAGAAGAAGCACACCAGCCAGACGAACAGCAGGCAGAGTGCCAGGTCCCACTTGAGTGCGCCGGGGTGGTCAATCCCAGGGGACAGGCTCAGCACGTTGTGCCTGGGGACAAGCACAGGGCCAGATCAATGGGCCGCCCTGCCCCCAGGGACCCCTCTGCCCCAGGACAGAGCTGCTAGAGTGCAGAGAGGGGGCTTGGCTGGGCATATGGTTCAATGGTGAGCACTTGCCTGGCACAAGACAGCCCTGGGTGCCATCCTCAGCACCCCAGGGAGAGGGGAATAGGGAAGGGAAGGAAAAGGGTAGATTTAGATGCCACATGGAGTGAATTGGGTTCAGCGTAGCCTGGCCCCGGGCAGGTCATAAAACTCTAAGCCTCAGTTTCCTCATCTGTAAACTGGGAACTGGCTCTCCATGGGGCCCAGGACAGCCTTCCTTTTTTTTTTTTCCTTAAATTCTTTTATTGGTACATTTCAGGTGTACGATCAGGACAGCCTTCTTCAGTGTCCAATGGAGAACACATGGCAAAGCCCATTGTGCTACCCATGGGGGATGCTGCTGGGCACCAGCAGGTGCTGCTGGCTAAGATTACTTGACCTGCCACCCAGAGACAGTGCCTGCTGTACCCGGGCAACAGCAGCAAGGCTGCCTTGCTGAGCAGGCACCTGCCCGGCTCCCAGCTCCCTGCTTGAAGGCTGCAGCCTCAGGACACAGTAACTGATGCCTCGGTTTCTCCTGTCAGAAATGGGGAGCTCACAGCTGCTTGGGATGCTGCCAGGAGACCCCGAGATCATCGTGAGGGGCCGCATCCTGTGGACGCCCTCGAACTGGGACCTGCTCATGCCCATCCTCTCATCCTCTGGAGGCCAACACAGGACCTCGAAGACTCTCAAGTCCCAGCTCCACTGCTCTTGGCACTGACACCGCCTGGCACATGCAGGACGAGAGCCCCTGCCACCGCTGGTCTCTCACCAGACCCACATTGTGGAGATGGGGAAACTGAGGCCCATCTCTGAAGCCAGTCCTCTGGTACACTGGACACTGAAGTCTGACTTTAAGGAAGCTGAGCCCTGGTGTGAAAGGGCCTCCTCCGCCCTCTGTGACACATGGACCACTGGGGCTCAGGACAGGACACCTCCAAGAGGCCAAGTGCCAGGCACGAGGACACAGAGCCTTTCAGCAGGAGGAGGAGGCGTGCATGTTCTGCCTCACTCCATACCTCCATGGACTCGGGTGGCACCGTGGGGACCCATCTGACCCTGGCTGCCATAGTCGTCCACGGGATGACACCTGCCGGCTGCCCCTGGTCAGGCACAGGGAAGGCACTGGGTTAACAGTGCAGACGTCTCTTCAGGTCAGAGCAGCTCCATCCCTGTGCTCGGGTCCCAGTGGTCCTGAGCCCACAGCCAACTCCTGCGATGCCCCTTCTGCCCACTCCTCCAACCTGGGCAGAGCAGTGATGCCGAGGCTGCTGTGAGCTCATGCTGGGCAGCTGCGGCCTCACCCCCAGCAGACAACACAGGCCGGCTTCTCTGCTGCTGCCAGTCATGGCTGGCGGGGTCTCACGGCAAGGGTGCCATCTAAAGGTTTGTCCTGACCAGCAAGTCCAGGTCCTCCAGTCCTGCACACACATGTGGGGAGACAGCGTTCATCCTCACAGGGCTTCGATCCAGGCAGGAGACTCGACAAGAACTGGCCCCGGGACAAAACATGAAGGCTCTGAGCAGGACCCAGGGGAGCAGGGTGTTCCTGCTGTGCAAGGCAAGGCCTCACCTAACAGTGAATTTTTTAAACCACTTTAATGTTTCAAAACCATTATTTTAAATTCTGAAAAAGTGGTGTGGAGGGCCACTCCAATGCCCTGGGAATGGAACGGATGTGTTTCATTGAGCACCACCATTCCCACTGCCACCCTGGGGCGGCCCAAACCCCTCCTGGGGGTTCGGTGGGCCCCTCAGTGTCTAACCCAGGGTCTCCAAGTGCCCGAAGAAGCAGCTGGGAGCATGGCCTCTCCCAACTCACACTCAGCAAACAGTAGCGAGCAGTGCCCAAGGGAATGTACCACGCAGGCAACTCACACGCCTGACACTGCCAGCCCTGGAGCCCAGGACAACTTGGGCAGCCTCTGCGCTGGCCTTCCTGGCTTTGAGTTCTCAGGGAACCCAGCAATATTCCCCCTCTGCTCCACAGCCTCCCTGTGGTTCCAGTTTCCCTCGGCCAATGGCCCCAAGCTGCCTCCTTACCATGCAGACAGACGAGACACCCCAGGCAAGGGGTCCCACACTGGCCTGGACCTCTTCCTCCTGGGCAGGCACTGTCCCACCTCTAGTAGCCACTTATGCTTGACATGGCCCTCACCCCTCCCCTCTCCTGACCTTTAGCCCAGATCTGTCTGGGGTCTGCCTGGGTCCTAGGCCAGAGCCTGCAGTGTGGACACTGAGCATTGGCCTGTCAGCAAACAGAAGGCACCTACCCAACACCAGCTGAGGGAATGAAGCCCAGTTGCCGTATGGAGAAACTGAGGCTCAGCTGGGCTCAGGAAGCCACTTGACATCGCCAGAGCTCAGCCTGGGCCTGTTTTGTTCCCTGTCTCCCCGCAGGCGCTGCCCTCATTGGCAACAATAGCAGTGACTCAGTTGGGCAGGGTCTGAGCTGAGGCCCGGATGTCTGCTCCAGCCGGCCGCCAGCCACACTGGGAGAGGAGAAGCATGGAGTGCGCCGATGGCTTCCTCTTGACCACAGGCCAACCCAGTGTTGGCGGCGCGCCCTCGGTACGGCAGCGGCATCATGAAAGGCTGTTGTCTGGCTGCCTGGCTCGAGCCTCTCCTCTGCCTCCTCCTAAGGAAGTGTTCGGCGGCTGGAGGCAGTCTAGGGACAGCCTTGGGGACATGGTCCTGGGGAGCATGCACCAGAGGGACAGGCTGGGCGGGCAGGAGGGAATTGGCTCAGCCACGTTGATGGAGCTGACGCTAGGGTCCATGGGTCTCCACCTCAGGGCTCTGCAGGGCTGGGGCTCAGGCAACAGGGATGGGTGAGGGGTGAGGCCCCAAGAGGAGACGCACAGCCCACGGGACCTGGCCCTGCACTGTGGATCTGGCCATGGGGACAGATGGGTGAGATGGGTGAGCCAAGGCGGTGGTGCCCCACGTCCACACAGGGCTCATGCTGGGCTGGGCAGGCAAGGAGGGGGCCGAGTCACTAGCTGGATGGGGCTGTGTCCAGGTGGGGGTCCCTGCCTGCTCTGCCTGGAGCCCAGGATCTTGGCTGCCCCAGCCTTGGTGCCTCAATTCCCAGACCTTGGTTAGCATGGTTGGGGGACACGAAGGCTGCATTGGCAAGGACAGAGTAGCTGGGAACCTCCCTGTGCCAGGCTCGGCATGGAGACCCCAGGGCGCCACCATGGGTGACACTGCTTGCAGGGGGCGGGAGGGGGTTGGCCACATCCATCCTGGGGGAACCCAGAGCCCCTGAGGGCTGGGGGCCCATCTACGTACAGCAGGTGCTCCATCTGCAGCCCGGCCACCCAGTGTCCCCGGGGAATACCCAGAGCATGGACCTCATCCCAGCCCTCTCCTTCTCCAGACCCTCCCATGACCCCTCAGCCCAGGGCACAACGCTCAGCCTCCCCAGCTTGATGTCATGGCTCCCCCTCCTGTCACTTCAGGCCCTGTCACTTCCCCTATGGCCTACGCTCCTGTTGTTCCCACCCATACCCCTTCGTGAGCTATTTCTTCTCTTTGGGCTATCTTTCCTCTTTTTGCGTGGTGAGCTCCTACTCATCCCTCAATGCTTAGTTCCTACGGCCCCTCCATTTTCAGATGGGGAAAGGAGGTTAGAAAGAGCTGTGTTCAAGGCTTCATAAGCAGCTGCGTGCAGACATGGAACCAAGAAGAAAAATGGGCAATCTATGGACATTAACTGCATGGAAACCCTCTCTCTGCTCCTCCTGGCAGGGTGAGGTCACAGTAGGAGAATGGCCATGAGAGGGCCCTGAGGGAAATAGCAGGGGGACTCAGGACCAGGACAGAGAGTGGGATAAGCAGGGAGAGCAGAGGCCAAGAGTCCCTTGGAGGGGTCCCCAGGTGGCTATGCAGCAAAGACACTGAGGCAGAGGGGGCAGGCAAGGATGGAACCCAGGTTGCCCATGATGGCCATGCTAAGAGCAGGCAGAGAGGCCAGGGCACAGGCTTGGGCCCTGCAGAAGGAATGGCACCCATCTGCAATCAGCTCCCAGGCACAGAAGCCAGGACAGATGCCTTGGTGCCCACCCTGTGTGTGAGAGCGGGCAGTAGCCTCAGCGCTACCTGCGAGGGCAAGAAAGGCCCTGGGTGATGGCCACACGGCTACCCACACAAAGGTGCCTCAGTGGGGCAGGGACGATCGATGGGCTCTCCACGTGGGTGACCAGCCAAGCCACAGTACAGCCCTGCACCCTGCAGCTCAGGCCATCGCTGGCAGCTCCTGAGTGCTGATTGGACAGCAGGGATGAGGGGCTACAGCATGATGGCCAGTGTCTAACAGGCACGAGTGGGCTGTCCTGTCCTGCCCCTCAGAGCCCTAGGGGTCCCTGACCTTGGTCATACAGCCTTCTGTACACCTGCACCTGCCCACTGCACACCCACGTGACTGGCAAGCACCTGTGCCAGCCTGCTGTGGACCTGTGTGACTGTGGGCTCTGCCATAGCCAATGGCAGGTGCCACAGGGCTCAACTCCCCCATAAAGGGACTGGGGCCATCCTGCAGGTACGAACATACACAGAGCCAGCAGGGATTAAAACAGCTCATGCCCTGGGCTCACCCATCTGTTGCTCCCAAACAGGCCAGCCTAGAGTGCAAGACCTTGGGTCACTTGCTTCAGGTGCCCAGACAATGCCTCCCACCCTGGAAAAGCTACCTCAAGGGTCCAAAGCTGCCTGCAAGGTCCTGGTCCTGGAGAAGCCCCAGGCTCAGACCACCCACGAGCAGAATCATGACCTAAACAGTGCCTGTCTACAGCTAGCAAGTTTGGAGATGGTTGTTATACAGCAAGAGCTGACTGAGACAAGCTGGACACGGTAATATATGCTTATAATTCCAACACTTAGTGGCTGAGACAGAAGGATCTCAAGTTCAAGGCCAGCCTGGCAATTTAATGTGACTCTTTCTAAAAATAAAAAAAGCTCAAGGCCGTGGATTAGCTCAGTGGTGCCACTGCCTGCCTTGAAAGTGCAAGGTCCTGAGTTCAGTCCCCGGTACCACCAAAAAAAAAAAAAGTTCAGATGCTACACATCTACCTTTTCGCCTTTTCATCTGACTGACTCCTTCATTTTCCACATGTATTTTTCTCTGTGTGATAACAGAAAATGCGTTTTTCTAAAACACATTAGGATCACAAGATTGTTTTTATAAAACCTAAGTACCTGTTCCTGTGTCTGGGACAGCAATTTTCACAGGGACCCTGGGGACAGGAATGACTCACTCCCCTTGGGGGACAGACAGCTGAGGAAACTGAAGCCTGCACAAGTCCAAACAGCAGGCAATGGCAGAGCTGGACTCAGCCCCAGATTAGAGCCCCGCCCGCCCCGAGAGGACCTGGTCTTACTCCCAGAACTCGATGACGGGGGATGTGAAGTTGACGGGGCTCAGGGTGACCCACAGGCTCTTGTTCCTGCGCAGTGTGTCCTCCAGGCACTGTGGCGTGTTCCAGCTGTGGTTGCAGTGCGCCCAAGGCAGCTCCTGCTGGAAGGACTGGAACAGGTAGTAGGTGGCCCAGGCCAGGATGACGATGTAGTACACGTTCAGCAGTGACACGATCACAATGGATGCATAGCCAATGCCTGCAGGACAGACAGGTGCACATCAACCAGGGCTGCAGGATGACACCCCAGGCCTGCGGCCAGAGGGGGATTTGACAGTAACCAGCAGATGTCTGTGAGATGGACGGAGGAGGACTGGGTGCAGGAACACATGAAGGATGGTCAGGGAACAGGATGGCTGGTCAGCCAGCACGCAGCTGGATGGATGGATGGACGGATGCTCAGACAGATAAACAGGTGTGTGGATAGACGGCGAGCAGATGGATAAATGTACAAGAGAGGGGAGAACATGTGAATGGTGGGTAGACAGGTGACGGATGGAGGGATTGGTAAACAGATGAGCAAATGTGCAGACAGGTGGGTGGGTGGATGAATGGATGGATAAACATAGTGGGTGGGTAAATGAACAGCTGGATCAATGCACAGATGGGTGGTGGGTGTACAGAATGGTAGACAGGTAAATGGGTGGATGGGGAGACACATAGATGAATGGATGGACAGGTGTACGGCTAGACAGATGGCTGGACAGAAGGACAGATGGGTGAGCAGGCGAACGGATGTGTGCCGGATGGATGGATGAATGTCTACTTGTTGCAGATATGCACTTTGCTGGCTGGAGGTGTGTGTGGTTGAGTGCTGGGTGGGTGGATGAATGAGTGGATGAGGAGGTGAGCAGAAGATGGGTAGGCAGTGTAATGACTGCATGGTTCACTGGAGAGTAAAATGGGTGGATGGATGGATGGGTGGGTGGGTGAATGGATGGATGCATGAAGGGACTCACACATATTCCCACTCTTGCCAATAAAGCCCTAACAGTGATTATCTGAGTGCATATTTAGTACCAAGCACAGGACTCTGCACAACCATGAATGTGGTGCCTCAGTACACCCAGCAGTTAGGCACAGCCCCGCCATTTTATCTGCACAGCAGCTCTGACATGTGAGTGTGTCACTGTGCTCAATAGATGAGGAAACTGAGGTACCGAATGACATTTCCAAGGCCACCTGACTGCGGAGGGGAGGACATGAGACTTGACCCCAGGCAGAAGCCACCTGGCCTGAGGTTCCAGGGAGGCACTGCCCCGAGCCAGGCACCACCCACCCCTCCCCTGTCCTTCATGACCTTGTCCTGTGCCACCCTATGTCAGCTCTGCAGCAGGTGCCTTGGCTGCATCCCCTCTCCATGTGTGATGCTCACCAGAGAAGAGGGGGCAGATCTTCTCCCAGCAGGTGATGCCACCCTCTGAGGTGTACTGGCCGATGATGACCTCCAGGAAGAAGACAGGCAGGCCACTCCCAAAGAGGAAGATGAAGTAGGGGATGAGGAACGCACCTGGGGAGAAGGCAGGACAAGGTGAGGGATGGGGAGTGCTGTGGCCCCGGCCCCTGTCACCTCCTCCTGGGGCCTCCACTACTGATCTGCCGGGTCCCTGGCCACCCACAGGGCCTCGAAGCTGTGCCCATGCCCCTGCTGTGTCCTCCAGCAAGACCATCTGAGGGGCCACTGCCTGGCAGGGAAGGCCCTCACCTGCTCTCTGGCCCCCTACCTGCATCTACTAACGGGCTCAGCAGGGTCTGCAAGCCCCAGGAAACTGGGCACTGGGGCTGGGGTGTTTGCTTTGCCCTGGGGAGCCCTTGGAGCCCTCTGGAGGATACTCTTGGGGAGCCAGGACCTCCGAAGGTTAAGAGACTGGGCTGTAATGAGTTCCCTACCATCTCCACAGCCTGGAAGGGTCAGAGCCTTCTGCAGGCAGAGCACAAAAAGCCTGAACCCCCCACAGCTGAGCAGCGATCTACAACTTAATGCGTCTCCACCACACATCTTCTGCCTAGATGCCTCTGCATTACAGCACCCTACGATGGCTTCCCATTTGTGGGGCACAAAGAAGCCAGAGTTGTGGACGGTGTCTGGTGAGGTTAGAAAAGCCTCCAAGCTGAGGGGTGCGGTGGGCTGACGGGAGGGAAACGGGGTCCTGCTCACCTCCACCATTCTTATAGCAGAGGTACGGGAAACGCCAGACATTGCCCAAGCCCACGAAGCCGCCGGCCACGGACAGCACAAAGTCGATCTTGCTGGCCCACTTCTCACGCTGGGGCGGCTTGCCCTCTGCCTCATCCTCAGGCCGCGTGCCTGGGCTCTTGCCTGGAGATGGCTTCAGGATGTCCTTGTGGAAGTCCTTCAGGCACAGCAGCTTCTCCTTAGTGGCCATGGCTGCGCCTCCTGCAGGAACGGAGACAGCCCATACCGGGCGGTACGGAGCCACTCAGACGCCGCCAGGGACTGGAACCTCCTAGCTCAGGCTGGGGACACTGGTGACCCAGTCACAGGTTCCAGGTTCCCAGAGGCCACATCTGTCACCCCAAACAGCGAGCCGCAGCCCACACCCTGATGTCACTCTCATCTCCTACAAAACCCTGCAGGCTGGGCCATCCCAGCATCCTCACATGGCAGCTGCCTGCTGCTGCCAGGCACAGACACACTCGATTATCTGAGTCCTGGCACTCTAGGGGCTGAGGCAGGACTGCAAGCTCCAGGCCAGCCCGGGCTACGCAGTGAGTCATCTCAAAAGAGACTGAAATTAACAAATTTTTAAAAAGACCACTCCAGTTTCACTAAGGCCTCAAGCCTGCCTACAGGATATGCCCCTTTGTGAGCATAAGTATGGATCCCAGGACTCAGACCAGGAAGTCTGCATCACCGGCAAGTGAGGTTCCCACCCGAGTACAGCAATGAATGTCTGTGAAGTACACTCGCGATTTCGGAACAATCATGTGTACACAGCAGAAAGAATGAGGCACTTTACCGGTGAGGCCTGAGCAGCACCATGCAGCTCAGGGGCAGCCCTTCCTGGACCATATGTGATGGGGAGGCCTCAGCAGGGCCAGGTAACCTCCATCTATACGTCCATCCACCCCGCTCGCCACCAGGGCTCGACCCCTGAAGGGCAGAGGCCATGGAAGGCGGGGGCCCTCCTCTGGGCCTTGACCTCCCAATCTGCAGGCCCAAATGGTGACAGCCAAGGTGGCCAACTCAGCACCACAGCCCTGGTGACAGCCTGTTTCCTTGATCCTAATTGGTGACTGAACGACAGGGGTCATGGTGCATGCCTGTCATCTCAGCATTCTGGGAAGCTGAGGCAGGAGGACTCCAAGTTCAAGCCCAGCCTGGGCAACTTAGCAAGACCCTGTCTCAAAACAAAACAAAAAAGAAACGGCTGCAGATGTAACTCAGTGCAAAGATCTGGGTTCAATCCTTAGTATATAAAAAAAAGGAAAATACTGCCCGACATTGAAATATCAGATTTCAGAGAAAAGTCGAAATGTCAAGGGTCTCTGGAACACAGAAAGGTCAGGATTGTGGGGCTCCTACTCCCCAGAGAGATCACAAACACCACCACACATTTGCCAGGCAGCCCCAACCACGAAGACATGGCCTGAGCACTTGCTCGTGGTGACATCGACTCCTGGGCCATAGCAGAGGCCGTGGGGACAAGGACCTGTTCCACAGATGCGCTCCTGGGGCCTGGCACTGTGCTGGGTGTGAGAGAGCAGTTGGCAGGTATTACTGGGTAGGTGGACCTTGAGTGGCCCCTGCACCCTGACCCTCAGCTGTGCACACCCCCACACACAGGGAGTTGCCAGCCTCGGAGCCTTGGACCTGGGCGGACAGGGACACATGGCCAGGCGGGTGCTGGGACCCGGAGAGGACAGGGACGTGCAGCCAGGCCCCAGGGGTTGCGCTGAGGGGCAGAGGCACAAAAGCACAACGCCGTGTTTCCCCCACGCCTCCTTCCTCTCCCTGGTCGGGTGGGGACCCCGATTGTTTCTCTGTCTGGCGGGGAGCAGACGGAGGCTTCCTGGAGCCCAGAGCCCTTCCTCTGCCTGGCGGGGCATCCGCACGCCTTTCTCTGCTGGCTCCCGCGGGGCCAGGCGGGCTCCGCAGCCCGAGCCACTGCAAAAATAGCCCGGCTGCAGCATTGTTCCAGCAAGAACCTGCGCCCCCTGATGCTTATCGGGCAGGCGGCATTGTGGCAGCAGGGTGGGTGCATAATTGGAGGATGTGGGGCGCGCACAGAACAGCCAGAGGTGGGCTGGGCCCACCCTTCTGGACATTGCCTGGACCTTGGTGCTGCGGGGACATCCCAGGGTCAGCCTGGCCTGAGCTCTAGGGGCTTGGGGATCCCAAACACAGGCAGAGGGGACTGGACAAGGAGGCCACCTGAGGGTCCTGCTCAGAGAACCCTTGGGAAACATGGGGGTTACCTCAAGCTCCTCAAGCTCCTCAAGATCCCAGTACTGCATATTCTGTTCTCCTACAAAATAAGGACCCCTGCTGGGCATGGTGGTGCACACCTGACATCCCAGCACTCAGGAGGCTGAGGCAGGAGGATCCTCATGAGTTCGAGGCCAGCCTGGGCTACATAGTGAGTTCAAGGCCAGCCTGGACTACATAGGGAGACCTTGTCTCAAAACAAAGAAATAATTTGGACCTGCCTATGGCCTGCCTGCAACTGGCCCAATGGCCCCCTTACTCCCTAGGAACCAGGGAGGTTCTGCAGCAGTCACAGCTGCTATCTAGGGGGTAGGACCCGAGGTGATCACTGTCCCTGAAGGATCATGTGCATGGGGCTACACCAAGCATCAGACCCTCACAGCCACCTCCCTCCAAACCCCCACCTCCACCTGGGAAAACCTGGGATCTGTAAGTCCCGGCACCTACCCTGCCTCCCCATCACCATGGCAACCTGGCCACCCACATGCTCCCCACGCAAACAGTGAAGGCAACCAGGAAGCAGTGGGCTCAGGGCCACCCCACGGCTCCCAGGCCATCTCTGTCCCTGCCACTGGCCTGACCCAGATGTTGAGGCCTCTTCCCAGCTGCTGACCTCAGGCATGGGGCTCAGGCTCTCTGGTCCCCAACCAGCAACTGCACTATGCGGGTGGTGAGGATCACCTGAGGGGTGCACAGGGCTGCTTGGACAGCAAGTGGTACGCGGCGGGCCTGCTGTCCCTGCCATCTCCATGTCCGTAGTTACTGTGGTCCTGCTGAGGGTGAGGCCACTGGCAGAAGTCCTGGGACACCTCCTACACCTCCTGGTGCCATCTCTGCAGCCTCCCCAATAGGCCAGTGCCTCCCACCAGGGGCCACCCGAAGGGCCAGAGAATCACCCAGGGGTTTGCTGGCCGCTGGGCCACGTCCTGCCGGCGTGACCTGTTTTCCTTGGCCTGGTGCCCAGGGTTATTTTGTAGCGGCTGACAGCCATAATTCCCCATTTTAAGAGCTTCCTCTTCAGTCACTACAGCTCCAGCGATTAGTGTAGATTCTGGCACAGAGGCCTTGGCAGAGCCTGCCTCACTGGTTGGCTGGAAACACTCACTTCTCTGTCTCCAGGCAGCAGCCAGATCCAGCCGTGCCTGAAGGCTGACCTGCATGTGGATCGCCTGGCCAATCTTGGCACAAATGCAGCTCCATTCAACCCACTGCAGTGAGGCTGTGGGCTTAGTGTAGGGCATTCCTTTACTCCCTAACCAGTTTTAAAGTATCACATTTTTGGACAGGGGTGGTAGTACATGCACTCAGGAGCCTGAGGCAGGAGGATTACAAGTTTGAGGCCAGTCTGGGCTACACAGCAAGACCTAGACCAGCCTGGTCTCTAGAGTAAGACTTGACTTAAAAGACAAAACAAAAGAAGTACCTTTTGAGTACAGTACTCTGGGCTGCATTAATTAGAAACTGTTTCCTATTTATCCATCAAACCCTTGGATTAGGGAAAATTTTTTTTTTTTTTGCAGTGCTGAGATCAAAGCCGGGGATGTGCCAGGGACCCTGGAGGAGAGGGTGCAGCTTGAGACCCAGGACACTTGCCTCCCCCAGGACCCCAGAAGTGATAGCAGGACACTGGGGAAACTGAGTCCCTACTGCCCCAGCTGGCCCACCTGCCCTGTGGCACCCACACCCTACTGCAGAGGCCATGATTCAAACCCACATCGACCCTTCAGCCTGCCAAGGACTCTGCCAGGAGGGCTGGGTATGAGACCCCTCTGCCCCCAGTGCCCACCCACCCCACACCCCATGGAGCCTGGATTCTGTGGACCCAGTGAGCTGCACCCAGAATTCTGATGGGTGGGGAGAGAACCGAACCTACCCTTCCTGAGTGTCCCCTCCCCGCAACAGTGACCTGGGCTTGCAGAAGCCACACCAAGCTGTGGGAGCCAGAGCAAGTTGACAACGTCTCTGCGCCTCGGTGTCCTCACCTGGGGAAGTCTGGAGGTAGAAGTCAGACTCACCCTGTGGGATTGCATGGGACAGAGGCTGTAAAGTGCCAGCTCAGGGCACACATGGCAAGTGATTGGCCCTGGGGACAATGGTCACATGCCTGGGTCTCAACGGCATGCGTGGCAGGCACTGTGCAGGGCTGAAGAAACATCACGGGGCTGGGGCCAGCTCTGGGGACCCTGATGTCCTGACTGTAGTTAATGACAACACCCTGCACACTGGAAACCAAGAGGGCACGGACTTCAGCCTCGAAGGAAAGGGCTGAGCACAGGAGAAGGCTCACGCGTACCACTCAGTCAGCGTCCTCCCTACACGGTGCACTGCTTGCCACTGTCATACACAGCTGGCAGCCCTGTGTGGAGCTCCACGTTGCCTCAGCTGGCCCTCCTCGAGTATTGCCCCTGTCCCCACTCTACAATGAGGCCCGAGATGATGTCATTTGCCTAGGTCACACCAGAGTCAAACCCCTGAGGAGCAGGAAACAGCTTCCAGTTCTGTCCTGGGCCCCAGTGTCCTCCTTCTCAACCCTTGAGGTGCCACCTGCACCTCTAATGAGCCCACTGTGTGGCCGGGCCAGCAGGCACACAAGGAACCAGGCTCAGGGAGAGCAGGACTGGGCACAGGGACGCTGCAGGAAGGGGCGGATGCCGAAGGACAGGTGGTGTTGTGCACAGGGTGTGCCTGGTGGGGCAGAGAGGCTCCTGAGTCCCCAGGAGGGTGGCCCCATCGTTGACATCCAAACTGCTCTCTCCAGGGTGCCACCCTGGCCCCCTGAACGTTCAACGGGAGCTGCTGGATAAACACAGTGAGCTCAGTGTTAAGTGCCAGCCCAGCACACAAGAGCCTGGGCTCCATCCAGGTCCAGCTCAAAAACAAAAACAAAAAAAAAAATCATAGCTCTTTTTTTTCCTGTCATAGAAAGCAGACCTTCAAAAGATTTAATC